AATATACCATAAGTGCACTGCAGTGTAAATTGCCTAGCTGATGCAGTCAAAATCGAAGCTTAATGTGGTAATGGAAGCGGAGTATGACTGTGCGTGTAGCGATAATGTTTAGAAGATTTTTTAAAACGAGTACCTAAATTAATTCGATAGGAACAATCGATAACTAATTACTGAAAATTCCTGTAACATTGAGATGGTCAGTTTCCCCTGGATCAATAACTTTTTCGTAGGTTTTATTTGAAGGGTAGTTTCTGCTGTTAATGAAACCTTTGTATGAGTATACAAAGTAACTTAGCAACTTTACTTCTAGATCTTACTTTATGTATTATAATAAAGATAATCTAGTTATACGGTTTCCTACGCAAATTACTTTTCCTCCATGACTGCAACATAACCGCGCAATCAGCGGCGTTACGTAATCGAACTCGGAGAGCAAATAAAGCTGCTTTATTTTGAGGTTGCAGTTGTTGTTCATTGTTGTCTGCGGTACTTACTTGCAGTAAAAGCGGGGAAATTACGCACACTCGAGGATGTGCGTCCGACGTGACGCGCGTCCGCCCTGCTCGCCATCTTCGGAGCGTGCCCGCTGCAGATTGTACTCGATTTAACTAGCTAATTGACTTGTTTATCTCAATCCACCAAACGGCCCATAATATACGATATGAGATTGCAACCGGCTATGATATCAACGGTTTACGTTCCATTATGCACCGGGCGCCGACGAGGGACGCAACCGCGGGGGAACGATCGCAAATTGTTTCAGGTCGTNCAGTACCTCTAGTAGGAAAAACTTTCGAGTTCGTTTCGTTGCGTATTCAAAGTGTCATCGAAAAATTTTGTATGAAAAATTAAACAGCGCCCCCTATATTATAGCCGCCCTAGGGGGCGCTGTTTAATTTTTCATACAAAATTTTTCGATGACACTTTGAATACGCAACGAAACGAACTCGAAAGTTTTTCGTACTAGAGGTAATAGGGGGCGCTGTTTAATTTTTCATACAAAATTTTTCGATGACACTTTGAATACGCAACGAAACGAACTCGAAAGTTTTTCCTACTAGAGGTACAGGTCGTCAGTCAAGTTATAGCTCAAATAAACACTGCCCGACTAACTGTAACGTAAAGTGAGTGTCGCAGATATGTTATGTATTGGCAGCTGAATGGGATTTGGGTGTTGCTACTCAACCATCATAGTTATTTTAATGTTTATGTTACGTCGACAGACGCTGTGCCAACTTTATTTTCCGTTTAATTGAAACACGAGGCATTTCACCGAATTCGTCATATTGTGCCCGCGATTTAGTTTACGAGCCTTACTTTGTTGCGGCGAGGGTTTATGCGCTTTTGAGTGGTCGTCGACAGAGAAAAACGGTATTTTGCACCGTTTATGGATTAAATTAATCGTGAGCCGTTTGTACGCGTCTCTAATTAGTTACAGTGTCACAGCGACAGGCGAATAAAATTCAGACGTGATATAAAACAAAAGGTTTATCTGTCTGTATCGGACGGGTTGAAAGCTTTGTCGCTACAATATGTCATTCTGAAGGTCCTTTAGATCTCGAGCGTTGGACCGGCCGCTGCGCGCGAGTTGTGTAAGTGTGGAAGGCCTTCATGCCAGAGAAATGGTCTCTGTTCTCAGTTATCGTTGTCATCGTGCGATTGTTCGTTACGACTTATTTAAATTCTAATTTCGCGAGGCTTGCACGCTTATGTCATGTCGTATGCCAGTCCACTTGTTGTGTTATTAAAACAAATTACTTACCAACTTGCTTTCGTTAACTGACGCCAGTGTGTCATCTGTTTGTAACATGTAATGATTTACGTAAGTTTCATTAGTGTTGGAGGATGACGTGATCTAAAGCACGAATTTGAATGGAAATGCGATCTTTTCCTTTTAGGTAAGTAGGTACTAATGTAGGCCTATGTGCTACCTTAGGTACATATTGGTCGGGGTATTGATTTTATCATAGGCCCTATCTTATACCATAGTATATCTACGTAGATATACATTTCGATNTATGGTAGAGTAGATACTCACGTGAGTATCTACTCTAATACATTTCGATTCTTAGTTCTTCGAATCTTGACTAATTTCATCATGATAGACTAAACATCTAGTAAAAGATAAATTTGTTTCAAATCTCGTGTTATTAATTGACTAATGCAAGACTGCGTCAAATTGGAATGCATTTTGCGAAATTAATAAATGCATAACATAAAAAACTGTATAAATAATGGTATTAGAGCGATGACTAATGACACCCAGGTGTTCCTTACAGTTGCCAATTTTAATGGTAAGATTCTGAGAACTACCAATTACGTGTTTCGCTTACGGGGTGTGAGTAAATAGTGTGATTGTGTACAAACACGATGCTCCCGCGCCGGTGTACTGCAATCACTGCGCGGTTTACACAACACGACTTTTATCGTTTCAGTCTGTCATGTCAACCGATTTAAGTCACACAAAAACAGTTTCAGTGTTGAAGAAAAGCCAACAAGTATTAGAATGTATCGGATATTGATTGTAGAATCTTAAAATCACATTAATGCAAAAAACTATTCAGCGTAGGCAGATTTTATAATCTACACTGCAGTTTCATACACGTCTCTAAAAGTAAACTTTCTAAGATCAGCAATTTTCGTTTCAGCATTTGGGAATCCCCATGCCATGAAACCTACCAACAAGTAACAATTATCTTTGAAGTTCACTTGGTACCCTATCATATCATGTTATTAACACATAAGCCGTGCTAAATCAGCTCGTGTAAATCCCGCATTATAACAGTTCGGCCGGTGTTATGCAACCGGAGCCATCCGCGCCCCACGCAGCCTGTAATTGAACACCTCTTCGATGCACCTCTCCCCCCGCGCTACCTCCGCTGCAAACCTCTGAAGTGTTGCCATTTTATCTATACTCATTATAGCTGTTTCTCGCGGTTTTGCCCGCCTGAATTCATTCTGTCATCATTTTTCAGGTTACACTCGAAAATAATGTGGCTTTCTGTAAATAATTTTCAAAATCGGTTCAGATTCATAGATTAAATATACCTCCTACAACCTCACAAACTTTACCTCTTTATATTATTATTATAGCTAGAGAAACATTAATGTTGTTTTCATGTTAAGAAAATCTGTGAAAATTATTTCAGTTAAAACTTCCTGTTACTCTCCGAGTGTCATGAGTTCCCGAGGGATTCGCTTTTGATTTTTATTTATATGAACCTGCTTAAGGTACAGGTCAGTGTCATCTATGTGTTCCATTAAGTTTCAGCAGCAACCTTTCATTTTCTTTCACAGTGATCAGCGACTCTACATTCTACATGAAAATGCATATTTTCAAAATGATCAATTTTCTTCAAAGTTCCGTTTCTGTTTAATTTACTATATGTTATTTGAAACTTGGCAATCGTTTTCTAAGTATGTTTGTCGGTGTACCTTCTAGTATTCTTAGAAAAACAAATTGCAATTTTACAATTTCATGTAAACAACTAAACATGCACGTGACTCCACGTGAAGTCCGTTTGAAAATGAAACGTAACTAAGTGTAGGTACATTTTATTAATGTTATTTATTCAGTAAGCTGCTTTCAATGCGTAGAAGAAGATGAATTATGAAACCATTTGCAGTCGTAGGTACAGAAACATGATTGGCAGATCTCTACATTTGACGGCGTTGGCTTAAACCCTAGTAATAAATAAGGCTCATTTTAAAATAGTTTATAAGTTTGGAGAATGTTAATTATAGCAAGCGCTAGTCGTTGTTAACTAACTATATGCCCATATTTGCATTCACCTAAAGCTGAGAGGCAAGTTTTGTGCGCTCTCTTACCCTATTTAGCAATTTAATTAGGACTGCATGCACGGCTCGTAAAAAGAAACGAATGCAGCACGCGACCACAACTGCTGCAACGCCTTGGTGGTCTAAAATTATAACCAGCTGCATTGACCGCTAAAGGTTAACGCTGAAGGAAGTTATAATGAATTAGGCGTCGATAAGCGCACGCGCAGGTGCCCGGCACAGGTGGTGGCGTGACACCGCCAACAGCTGATACCAGCCCAAGTTCATTACCGCTCCGCGCAAATCGATCCGTCGTGGTAGCGCCCCCACCCACTTTCGAATGCAACACTTTCTTATCTTACCGTCTGTGAATGTTCGATTTGCACTGCCGGAACACGTCGCTTTTTATTACATACATCTTTCGCACACATTCAGATGCTCCTTAACTACTCTCTACGCAACAGCTGTTCCGATAATATGAACCAATTTGGACGTTTAGGTTACCTTTTCAAGAGCAGACACGCACGCTCTAATTTTGAACAATATCCTGCGTACTACTCTACTGATAACGTAAGCGCCGATTACTCTTGCTTTATTTACTGAGGCAATAATCATAGTGCGTGTGGCGTCGTACCGAACAGAAATTCGATAAGTGTTCTGGGATTGTGAGTATTAGCAAATAGCCTTTAGAATCCTAAAAGGGGACGTCGCGCCGGCGCGCCGTTCGCCTTGTGACGAACTGACGACTGCCTACTTTCAGCAAAGAAAGTAAAAGAGCCATTCATCATGCCGTAGCAGCGGCTATTCAGTGGGTCGCACACGCCGTGTCCGGTTTGCCTACAAATTGGTCACATCGACCGCTAAGTGGGAAGATTCGGCTCACACGCGGCCAACGGTGCTAACAACTTTATAATGCCATCTTCTCTTAGAATTAATGTCCCGTCGGAGTTGATGAAAGCGTTACAAAATGTGCGATTTTTAATTTTGTGATTTCTTACATTTTATATTTAATTTTGCTGTCTGTACTAAAAGTAGTTTTCTATTTTTTATCTTGCTAACTTTCATGTAAATTATTTATAGAATCACTAAAATAAGTAGCTACATTTTTCATGCTGTCATTAGATTTAAAAGTATCTGACTCTATCTTTAGGATTACGAGTGACCATTATTACTAAGTTTCTTGATCTCTTGCCCGTCTAACAGCAACATTTCTTTACTTCCAGTCACATAACAAAGACGACGACGTGGGACGACCCGCGCAAGACGTTGGCGGCACAGTCGGTGGCCAGCAGCGTGCAGCACCAGAGCGCAGAGACGCTGCTGCCGCAGCCCGCCAGCGCGCCCGCCATCACACCCGCAGCCACCCCAGGTTATTGACTGATTACATACTAATGATACCTTTTTTATGCATTATAAGGCAGGTATTTGACCACAATCGCACCTGATGTTAAGTGAGATGCAGTCTAGGATGGTACATAGGATGGTACAGGTGAGATACAGGCCAAGAGCTTCCTCCTTGTGGACAAAAATAAAAAAAATAAAAACATATCTGCCCTGTAAGTGCCTATTCACTCTCGCCTTGAAAAGGCCCGGATTATAGTCTTCGGGAAAGACTCAATACTCAATTACTCAATAAGTTAATTGCTTCCATAATAGTAAGACAGCAGCAGGCAGCGAAATCAGTCCCTAGCTGTACCTACTCGCTTCTGCCGATGGCTTCACCTGTCATTTCAACCGAATTGCGTCCACTGTTGGACTACTTAAACCACGGATTTCCATGACGACCGGTCCTCTGCCCGCATCCAGGTGCTTAACGCGACTTCACCAGGTTGGTCCACTGAGTGGGTATCTCCGTATCTCACCCAAATTTTCATGCGTTCTGTCGCATGTATGGTAATGCCCTCTCAAGTTCGATCTCTCATATCTAAGTATCAAAACATTTTCAAATCTATTTGCTAAAACGGATACCTACCTATAATTGACAAGGTTTAAACAGCTGAAACACTATGATTACCTACTTTCCTTCGTAACCTTATACTGAAGTGGTCCTTTTCAGCCTAAACTATGATGTGGTAGTTTCTTGCCATTATTTGTAACTAGCTTTCCGCCCGCGGCTTCGCCCGCGTGGAATTTTGTCTGTCACAGAAAAACTTTATCGCGCGCGTCCCTGTTTCAAAAACCGGGATAAAAACTATCCTATGTTCTTTCCCGGGACTCAAACTATCTCTATGCCAAATTTCATCAAAATCGGTTGCGAGGTTTAAGCGGGAAAGCGTAACAGACAGACAGACAGACAGACAGACAGACAGACAGAGTTACTTTCGCATTTATAATATTAGTTGGGATTGCTTGTAGGTACATCAAACCGGGGGGCTTCCCTATTCATATCGGATAATAGTAGTTTGTTAGTGATAATCGTATTATACAGATTGAGGTACGATAACACTTAACTTGTATAGAGTCCTTTTGTTGGTCGGTTCAATCCATGAATTTATATTTATTTAATTTAGTCTGATTTAGGTACATTGGCAGCCATCCTTAGCAATTATTACTTAGTAGAAAGTAGTCCCTATCACTCTTATTTTTTTGATCGGGGTTTTGATTCGGTCGTTTTAACATTTTTACTAAATTATTCTTTGTTTTGTTTATATTTATTTGTAATGACTACCCTGAAAGATAGCGTGAGAAATCAATCCATTATAGGAATAGAGATTTATTTAATCGTAATCAGTGGCTACATTTGCACCTACACTTGCTCCATCTTTAATTTGACGCTGCAAAACCTGCGTAGAACTATCCCTGTTGTTCTAAGCGCACTGCCCTTGTCAATTTGCCAAAACAATTAATATTCCTAGATGTTGAAGTCTTATAGAGATTAGTGATCGGAGTTTCAAGTGAAGCCAGAAAGCCCGGGATCTATCTTTTGGATCCTATTAGTTTATCACACGGTGAAATAGAACATTATTGATTAGAAATAAATAATCCATTTCAATTTGTTGTTATAAGCAAGTAAGTGTGTAGGAAAATTTAAGAAAATCTAATATGGTCCGTTAATTTACTCTCTTTTTATACATTTTGTACAAATCCAACTGATCTAGGCAAGCTAGATTTTCATTGTGTTTAAAAATGAAGTCATCTTGTTTGTAACTAAATAATTACAAATTACAAAGAACTCATAATTTTAAATAGTAATACCTACTGTCTCACCTTGGGTTTTCCATTTTATCAGCTGCAGCAAGATGATGTCATTTTTGTTTCGAAGTTGGTAACAAAAATATTTTAATAATCATTAAGTAGTATAATATTTCGTACTTAAATATAAACCTGTAGAGGGTAGCGCATTTTCTTACATAACTTTTCAATTCCTATCATTGGAGGTCCGAAAATATTTCTCATACAATTTGATATCATAATGATCATTCTTCATAAAAAATTTAAAACCTACATATTTAAAATCATAATCATTGATATTCATAATATCACTAATCATACGCTTAGTTTTTACTAATATTTGTTTTCATATATTTTTCTATACTAATGATCGAAACTCATAATCATTCGAATAAATAACTATNAAATTATTAAATGAAACGAATAGATCGCAAACTCTACCATCATTCTGAAAGACGTCCAAATGAAACAGGGAGTGGCCGTTTTCGTCGTTATATTACTATCCCGTTCACGTGATCTAATTGGCCACAGAGCCGAGTTTAAAATTATCATGGAACTGAAATAAAAACAAGTAAATAACCCGAATTCTAAAACTGATTTTATGACGGGAATTAACGCGTTGTTTCCGTCGGTCGATGCGAGACGAGCGTTGAAAGGTGTTCGGAAAATACATTGGTGTCTCGGCGCCGGGAGCGCGGCCCTGGCTCCGGCTTTCAGCGGTGCCTTGCGACACATCCGCCGGCCACTGCCATTTTCCTGACCAATTTTTGTCACATCCCAATAAACAAACATTCATCATCTAAAAATTCCGCCGCTTTTCTAAACTAGCCACACGTACTCTAGTATATGAGTGTAGTTATGACGAATTCGCTTTCAGCTGACACGTTGATTCCAAGGCGTTGGGTCACGTGTCTTTGCACCTATTTGAGCATTCCTTCTGATAGTTTACTTCGGTACGTGCCCTAGTCACGTACTTGACGTTGACGTGTTTTAAACAAGTGACTAGCTCCTCAGCCTATCATGAGAGAGGGAGAGACAATCTAAGTAGATCAGGTAACAAAACAAATAAATTGTGTTTTCGTAGCACATTCTTCCGTAATCTGATGACACGGGCTATCTTTTGTGTTATCTTTTCAAGTGAAATTGCTTTCTTATTACGTCCGCCATGCTCAAAATATCCATCTCGTAACTAGCTTCTACAATGCAGCACTTTTGTTTAGTTATGAGTGAGATACGGTTGGGGTTTACATGTCTTATAAAAAATCATAATCAAAACATTGAAGTTCAAATATGATTTATTTTCCTCGTTTCTAGTTTAGTTTTGTGTTAAGTTGTAGTATTTTTGAATTTATTTTTATCAACAATATAAAGCTTGTCAAAGAGATAGTGTGAAGTAGCGTGAGTTTTGTGTACTTAGTAGGTAAACGAATTATTAAGTAACGTAATAATAACGCAGTGCTTAGTCGCCCGACCGCTGTTGAGTAATGGCGCTGTAAATAATGTTTAATTATACTTGCACCGGCGCATCGTGCAGTCGCCAATAAGGAGGTTATCTTGATGAAATGCTGTCTCTACTTTTGCTGAGATTTTAGTTGGCCCTTGATTTTAAATACTTTGTACCGCTATTTTGTATTTAATTAAATAAATACTTTTGGTTGTTTATATATCTAATTTTCACGAAACCGTACTATTTAAATAAGATAAAAAAGTAGTATTTACTAGTCACCTAGTTCCACGTGGAGCATAATGAATGGATGACAAATGATTCTATAACGGGCAGTTTTGCACCTATGTGCTTTAATCAGCAGCTATTTATGAATGATTGGAAAGTTGGCAGCAGTTGCATCGGTGGTACAGGGTGAGGTGTCCGCGCGACATCCGCGGCGTGATTCACACGCGCGCGGGGCGAGCGTCTGGCGCCGTTGTTTTCTTGGAACAAGCTCACGCCGACCTTTCCTCTATCCACCTGATTTCCAATCACGTGCGCGAGCTTCGCAACTCATGTCTTTATTGGCTTCCAACCAACCGCTCAACACTCAAATAACATAGAACCACTAACGGTATCCCTTCTCTTTGATTACAGCAGCGAAGAGTACAAGTAGTAACACGACGACAGATCCACTAGGGCCGCTACCAGAAGGTTGGGAGCAGGCGACGACACCAGAAGGTGAAACCTATTTTATAAACCATGCCGCCCGAACAACGTCTTGGTTCGACCCTAGAATACGTAAGTTAGCTTCGATATTCCCTGACGTTGCTTTCATGTTAGTGGTGCAATTGTTATTTTGATTGATGTTTTGCTTTTGTTTCCAGCACAACACTTACAACGCACACCGGCGGCGAACGCCGGCGCGGCGGGCGGCGGCTGGGCCAACGCCTCGCTCCAGGCCTGCCAGCAGAAAATACGCCTCCAGTCGCTTCAGCTCGAGCGAGATCGTCTCAAGCAGCGCCAGCAGGAGATCCGACTCCAGGTAATGAACGGACATCTATATCTATAAAAGCGAAAGGACACTGACTCACTCACTCATTCATCACGAAATCTCAGAAACTACAAGTGCTAGGGGNTCTAGGGGTCTCAAATTTTGCATTGGGGTTCCTTTTAGAACTTAGGTGCTCACTGCTCACTAAGACGGGATTTTGAAAAATTCAACTCCTAAGGGAGTAACGACGGGAAAAACGCATGCCTACGAAGTCGCGGGCGACCGCTAAGTAGTATCTAATAAATCAACGTGCGACCTCCGAGTCTACTAGTAAACGTTAGAATCCCTTCAGTTTAACTAAAACCTTGGCTTCGCGCCAGCGCAGACTCGGGTCAGTGGGCCAGAAGTTTCGGTGTCCCGAAAACGTCTTCACCTTAAAGGCCGGCAACGCACCTGTAATGCCCCTGGGTCTGAGGGTGTCTATGGGCGACGGTAATCACTTGACACAAGAGAGAGATGGAGGGAGATCGTGCGGAGAGTTGTATCCGCCTCTACAAACGATGTGAACAACGCCTCAACGTGACCACGACCGCTCTGCCAAGAGCGTAACGCATAAGAAGAAGAATCACTTACCACCCGTGACCGGTGACCCGTCTGCTCGTTTGCCTCCTGTCACATTAAAAAAAGTGTCTAAAGAAGCATTTTCCGTTTCCAGCAAGAGCTGATGGCGCGGCAGTCGTCGTCGATCATGTCTTCGCTAGCCAGTAGCGCGGGCGCGGCGGCGAGTACGGATCTGTCGCTGGACCCGTTCCTGTCGGGGCTGTCGGAGCACCAGCGGCAGGAGTCGGCCGACAGTGGGCTGGGCATGGCGGTGCCGCGCGTGGGCGAGGGAGACGGGCTGTTCTCCATCCCGCACACGCCCGAAGACTTCCTGGCGGGCATGGACGACCGCATGGACTGCAGCAGCGAGGCCGGCGCCAACATGGACTCCGCCGACATGGCCATCGGCGACAACCTCGACTCTACAGACGACCTGGTACCTTCTTTGCAGGTAACTTCGCTTGTTGCTTTGCTAGATCAATTAATGGAAAGTATATCGAAAATTGTTATAAAATACTTACAAGTTCTTCTCGAATTACCATTATTTAATTAGTTCGTATGTGCTTCTCAAAGTTTTAAATAATTAAATAAAAAACTGATAAAAGCACTTAGGAAATAATATGGTACCAGTGTGTATCAGGACACCGCCAGTTAACTGAAATACCTCTTGTAACAGCTCTGAGAGAAAGTTGTTTCTCTATAATCTTTATGTAAAAATAAATCGTATTAACTACGCAAAACACTTTTTGAAATCAACTAACTGATTGTGAATCAATAAATATTGAAATTATTTTTTTATTATTTGCCAATGAACCACTTTTCATGATATTATTTAATTCGATATGTTAATGGTGTCATCTTTTCTATTCAACTGTCGTTTGAATGTAGGTATTAGTATTAGTAGAGGAGACTGTTCACAAAAAAATGGTCACCTTATAACATTCTACTGTCCATGATTCACAATTTTGAGTAGGTCGTTAAAATGCAGTAGATTCGATGTAGGGAAATATATCTTTCATTTATATTGAATCGTAACAAAAGCCGATGTGCTTACTAATTTATGCTTAAGAAGCTGTGTTGTGTTTACCTACTAATGTAAATTAATCGCTGGTCCATTCTTGTAAATGAATAAGTATAATGGGAAATCCTCTTTCTGTTTAGATATACAATATTGTTTGTTTTCCTCAATAAACTTGCCGTTATGACACGCACAAATAATAATAATGACTCATTCATGGTCCCATGGAAAAAAATTGATACAAAAATGAATCGAATTGACGTCGCTAACTGATAGTTTATTGTATTCTAAAATTGTATTTTCCTCAACTCAAATGATGCTAATAATATAAATGGATTACTTGCATGTAACCATTAAGTGCGCGATTTTCTATTTTTCAACATGTTTGCACATTGAACAAGTAAAAAACGTCTTACTTTTTTAACAGACTGCAGTTAGTTACTAACAATTAATAAAACAAATCATAACGAGACTAGAGCTAATGGACTGGCAATTTTGTACATTACCTACCTAATATAAATAGATTGAACTGTGACCGCAACAGTTTTTAATTAGTAATCAAAGGTAGACTTAGTCATATTACATAAATTAAGCAGGACATAGAAAGTGAAGTTAATATTACTTGGCTTAATTGGTTGGTAAACAAAATTGCCAAATTCTATTGATTTGAACTATTCATTCGTGTTCTCGTAATCTAAGGGCTCTTTCAAATAAGACGTTTTGAGCACGTGTCAGTCGTGCTTTTGCAAGACTGCAGTTCCAATGCAGCGTCATACAATTTTCCGTGTGCCTGCTAATGTCCGACTTGAAACATTTTATTTGAAAGGGCAATTAGGAGCATAGGAGCTCCGTGAGCGTTGTTTTTAAAAGATTTCTCGTTTGTTTCCAGCTGAACGAGTTTACAAACGACATTCTGCTGGACGACGTGCAGTCGCTGATCAACTCGACCCCGAGCAAGCCGGACAACGTGCTGACCTGGCTGTAGGCCTTACAAACATTCAAATTAGATCATATCGTTAATTTAGCGTACTTACCGCTTCACACGTCCACCGCCACGAATGTCGGTGACCGGTAAAGGTGTACATTTCACTAAAATGACAATAGTGCAACGTGTGTCTGAACTGACGTGATTTTTATGTCTGACGAGTGACTGTAGAGGTATCGGCACCGTTACGACGGCCTCGTGTCTAGCACCACTTATTATTCAGAATTCGTTTTGTCCTCTCTGCATTTATTCGAATGAGACACAAACACGGAATTCTGGGTGATGAGTGTCATTTTCCATTCTGATATTTAACCGTGTGTCCGAAACTGAAGTATCTTTTGTTCTAATTCGTGGAGATGTATTTACACTGTATCATTTAAACGGGCATTGAGTTTTACGGCAGACGGTGATGTAATGTATCCAAAAAGTTTACATTGTCTAGAATTAGAAGCCTTTTGTATGATTTGCGCTGCGTGCCAGCGAGGAATGACAGGCCCGCGTAGGGCGTGACCGCGGCTCGCGCGAGTCGGACGGCCCGGCCGGCCCGTTGCAACCTTTCTTTCATAACCGAAAGAAGCTGTGTTGCAACACTAATTCAATTCATAAGTTAGGTTTCCCATATTCTTTCTCCCTAAGACTATCGGAAATCCTATTATTTCATGCGTATTTAAACTAGACATAATGTTGGCTGAATATAAATACTAATTAATGTATTATCAATAAATTTAAGATTGTGATAACATCTTGACATAACAGTGCCTTATTGTGCCTTTATAAAAATTATTTATTGTGTTTTGTAATTTAGATAAATGTTAAAATATTTCTACACTACTATTGTCGAACATTTGATATATTAATTTGATATAACTGTAAAACTACTTATGTAAACTTGTAGTTATGTGTTTGTCGACTTACACCGTCCTTGTGTATTTTTGGAGATTATGATAGATGTTAAGTTTTATCGTTAATCGTGAAGTAGTTAATTATGTTGGCAACTATTACTGTGGTTATTGTAATGTTAAATGATTGGCCGAAGTGAGCCGCGCCCGCTGCGCAAGAGCGCGGGAGCGGCGCGAGACACTTCGCCGCGATGTGACATGACTTAGATGATTCTAACGAAGCTTCGGAAAGTCAATAAGTAGGTAAATTTTTGATTATTTTTTGGTATGTTTAGGGGTTGCGCGGGAGACGTGTCGACTGTAGGGTGCGGACGGCGACGGGTAGGCCTGTGCAATATGGATCCGACGTCCAATTTGGTGCCAACTTAGATAGGATCAAATATATTTTCATTATTTACCGTCGCCTAGAATACTTCCTTTATCTTATCGACTCAATGAATCCATCATCCGTATCTTGACAAACGTCAGATCTTCTCAAAATTACTTTTTAGCCCACCTAGTCTTTAGATTTCGTTATTATGAGTGTGATGATTCAGCTAGCTTGATTATACAATTCGAAATTAGGCCTTATGAAATGCTACATAGAAAACTTTGCCATATTAGTAAAATACTTTATTCTTATAAGACTTAATGTAATCTTCAGTTATGATATAGATAGCAAGTGTAAGCATCTGTGTAACTACTGTAATTAGAGGTAACGGTGCTGGGTTGATGATACATTTTATTTTGTATTCTGTAGATCCATTTGTTGTACTTTATATTGTATCGTGTAATTCTTTGTACTCCGTAAGTGGAAGCTTCTCATATTGTTCGGGTTATTATTCTCTCGCTCCCTTCCCCCTGTGTCCGAAGCTCGGTGGAGCGAAGGAGCCACCGACGCCCGCTACTCGTGGCCGGCGACGCCGATGTCGCGCCACTACAGTCTGTCCGTCGCTGCGGCGACACTCGAGAAACATTCCAGTCGCTTACAGTCGCCGGCGCGCGCGCCGCGCCTCGCTTACGAAGAATAATATTCGGAACAATATATCAAGTGTAAAATATCGTTTATTTCTTAAGTATAGCCTTTATATTACAAACATATCTTTCAGTCTGATAGCAGATGCAAGTTTTCTCTGTAGTGTAATGTATTACGTGTATCAATGTCATAACAATGAAATTCATAAAAATGTTAAGAGTAATGAATTAATTTACTTTAATTTCATTGTAAATAATTTGATATTCATAAATGAATGAAATAAATATTTGTTTTAATACCTATTATTAATTTTAATTCATTCCCTGTGATTTATGATCCCATTTTAGCCATATTGTGGTAGTTACGAGAAATCAGTAAAAAAGATTTTCTTGTGGATACTTATTTTAATATCGTTCTTATTCATAAAGCTAAAGATATGCCTATTCTGATACTTCAGCAACACTTCCAAAATCCAATTATGATGATTTACAGCTCAGTATGGACGCTCTGTAGATGAAAACATATATTTCGATAATATTTTTGTACGTGCGCTTACGCATTGATATGTCGTTACCTATTCGTAAATTATAAAGTACAGCATTTTATAAATTGACAGCATATTATGTAAGAATGATACAATTTTTTAATCTACACTCAACATGCACGGTTCTAGCAGATTACAGTTAAAAGTTACCATCTACTTAGCTACATATTAATATGAAGTCTGCCATAATGATATACATATGTACTGTGTATGTATCTTTATATGTTAGCTAAACATTAATATAGCTACTTATTTTAGAGGGTTAAAATCTTAAGAGAAAAAAGTAAAAACACATGCACATTAAATATTTACATTTTATTAAAATTAAATTTACATGCATTACGCACTTTGATATTAGTAAAGCTAAAGCATCCACTCGCAACTTATGAACGCCTCACCTGTAAGCATACAAAAACCACCTTAAGCATAAAACTTGCTTTATTTTTTCAACTCTCTCACAAGTTTAGCAGAACTAAATTTTAGCCCGTAGTAACTTATTCACCTCGTAGGCTATGTGATGACTATTAATATCCATCCTCCCTTTATTAAGTCCCATGGAGATAGCTAACCTACGACTCTATTACACAGTCCCCTGCTGGTCGTAAACCTTCCAAAGAACAATTTCTTTGGAAGGTTTACGACCAGCAGGGGACTGTGTAATAGAGTTCGTGATTTGTAAGCACAATCTCCCGTTTTTTTTTTCATTCAGCTGCTGCACGCTCCTTAAATTCGTCGATGCATCGAGCAGATAGGCTTCAACCACACCAACGACTGCTGATCGCCATCGCCGGCGCGATCATAGGCCAAGGATAGGTCGCGCGACCTGTCATTTGTCGTCTGTTGGTGTGACTGAAGCTTTAAGCTCGATTCACACATATCAGTGAAGCCACAGTTCCGTCACAGTCACAGTGGCCGCTCAGTTCAGTATCAGTGCTACAGTGTTGCGTCAGTGAAATATTTTGAATATTTTAAATTGTCAGAGAGCTGTTTCAATATTCTTGTNTTCCCTGTGATTTATGATCCCATTTTAGCCATATTTAAGTGGTAGTTACGAGAAATCAGTAAAAAAGCTTTTCTTGTGGATACTTATTTTAATATCGTTCCTATTCATAAAGCTAAAGATGTGCCTATTCTTATACTTCAGCAACACTTCCAAATGATTTACAGCTCGGTATGGACACTCTGTAGATGAAAACATATTTTTTGATAATATTTATGTACGTGCGCGTACGCATCGTTATGACGTTACCTATTCGTAAATTATCAAGTGCCTTTTTAAATTGACAGCATATTATGTAAGAAGTATACAGTTTTTTAACCTACACTCAACATGCACGGTTCTAGCAGATTACAGTTAAAAGTTACCATCTACTTATCTACATATTAATATGAAGTCTACCATAATAATATACTATGTATCTTTATATGTTAGCTAAACATTAATATAGCTACTTATTTTAAAGGGTTAAAATGTTCTTTCAATTCGAGATTAAAGTAAAAACACATGCACATTAAATATTTACATTTTATTCAGATTAAATTTACATGCATTACGCACTTTGGTATTAGTAAAGCTAAAGCATCCACTCGCAACTTATGAACGCCTCACCTGTAAGCATACAAAAACCACCTTAAGCATAAGACTTGCTTTATTTTTTCAACTCTCACAAGTTTAGCAGAACTAAATTTTAGCCCGTAATAACTGATTCACCTCATAGGCTATGTGGAGACTATTAATATCCATCCATCCTTCCTTTATTAAGTCCCATGGAGATAGCGAATCTGGACGTAAACTTTTCAAAGAAACTGTAGTTTGTGCTTTGTAAGCACAATCTCCCGTTTTTTTCATCTAGGCGCTGCACGTTCCTTGAATTTGTCGATGCGTCGAGCAGATAGGCTTCAACCACACCAATGACTTGACTGCAGATCGCCATCGCCGGCGCGATCATAGGCCAAGGACAGGTCGCGCGACCTGTCATTGGTCGTCCGTTGGTGTGATTGAAGCTTTAAGCTCGATTCACACATATCAGTGAAGCCACAGTTCCGTCACAGTGTCCGCTCAGTTCAGTATCAGTGCTACAGTGTTGCGTCAGTGAAATATTTTGAACATTTTAAAATGTCAGAGAGCTGTTTCAATATTCTTGTTCAGAAACTATGAATTAAGTTATTTTGTTTTTGATGCCGCGGCGGCGTCCGTGATCCGACAAAAAATATGTCCGTGATTGCCGGTGTCGGCACTGACACTGAGAGCACTGTGTCGTCACTGACACTGACAAGTGGGGATGCGTTCATAGAAACTGTATGAAATAATATTTCGCACTGTGCCGGTATTGAGCCTGAACTGTGACTTCACTGATATGTGTGAATCGGCCTTTAGGCATTATCTACATGCACTGTAAAGTAGGTATGTTGACTACCACCACCTATTATTACTTATGTATGAGTGCTTACGGCGGGGTCTTTGAAGATCTCGTCCTGAGGCAGCTCGCGGGTGGCGATGAGCTTCTTGAAGTATTCCACCGACAGCTTGGGAGTGCGCGGCCTCGCGGGGTCCGTGATGTCCACGTAGTAGAAGCCGAATCTCTCGCTGGAAGTATTATTTATTGTTTTTTCACATCATTAACTCGTGGTAACAATTGATTTGTATTGTGTCTAGATTATCTGGTACCATAGGCAACAGCGTTAACTATCCATTGCCTGTCATGTCGTCTCGTTCTATCGCAAAGAATCACCATTTGATGAGAGCGAGAGCAAAAACGGAAATGGATAGTTAACAGTGTGGCCGTGTGAAGGGCTACAGAGATTTTTTCCAGCCGACTAGGGTATTAAAGTACGAAAAGTACCTAATTGTAAATACGCATTGAACTCGTAGTACGGAATTTCTCAGTCAGCAAGACTTTTTTTTATTTAGACTATTGATTAAATTAATTTGGTGGGTAGTTCACCAATCCTTCTTTATAAGCTGTCAAAATGTAATTTTCCTTGTCTTAGTATTCATTTCAAAGTGATTTTATAAAATATTATAAATTATAAATGGGGATAAATCTAGTGTTTATCCCCATTTATCTTCTATCTATTAGAGGTGGGCGCCACGCCGGCGCGCCGCCGCCGCCGCGAAATTTTTCACGCCGCCGCCGCCGACGATCGGCTGTCGGCGCGCCGACTCCTATACTGCACTGACTATTTGTTTTTTTTACAAATGTTTCTATTGTGCGGGAATCGAATCCGCGACCTCCGGCATAGATTACGAACGTACCACTACATCAAACGGCCAACATACTGAGTGAGAGCCTCGCAAAGCCAATTCCTTAGCTTTGGTGAATTATCCATAAGGCTGGAAAGCCGGCTAACAAAGTCTCATCCTATCGTTCTATTAACTGGACTCTTGTATTGTCAAAATTGTGGGAAAAGACCGTCTTTGGACGTTTATCCCCTTGCTTAAGTATGGCCCATGTAGTAATCGACCATCAATTTATGGCATAGTTTCAAGTCAAACTCTGTGACAAGATTTTTTTTAGTTGCAGAGCTTGAGTATCCCAGTACTCCATAATTGATCCGGTCCTCTACAACATAATATCAATAATATTTACTAGTAAAGTAGCTCAGTCACCAGAAACAACTGAGGCCTTCCTCAGATGTGAACAATGATCTTAAAGCCACTAGACTGTTGCAAACTCAGCTAGATGTGACTAATGCTTAGCTGACCCACTAGCGCATAAAAGCAAACTCCGAAGTCTCACCATAACACGTTTAGGACATGAAACTTATCCTCCGGCCAAACCGTTTTGTCGGCGTGATCAATATACATACCTCCACAAAATTACAGCTCTCTAGTGCCAGTAGTTTCCAAGCAAAACCTCGGACAGACAGACAGCCAGACATATCGAAACTATAAGGGTTCCTTGTCAGAACTACGGAACCCTAAAAACGATAAACCGATCTGGACATAATATTATGGCATCTACCTAAATGTGGTCGAAAACCAGCTAATCCAACATTCTATTTGCNAATGGAGAAGTTTCTAATTTTTTTCTTTTAAATAAACTTGAAATAAATATAAGTAAAACTAATAATAATTGTGAAATAATCATGAAAATATCTCTACAAATAAATAAGTTACATAGCCCTAAAATTGCGCATAACTATTCACGCCATTTTGATCGGTGTATTCACGACAGTCATTTGGAGTACAAACAGTAAATCACCCCTGATCCAGCCAGTGCTGTTGACAGGTTCATTTTTTTTAAATCTAGCAGTTTTTAATTTTTCAGCTAGGGTCACACAAGATTCTTTCTTAGTAAAATTTTGTAACCTTTTTTTAAAATATCCCAGACCTGGCCATATTATACAAAAAGAACGGCACCGCCTATGTTTCAGTTCCACGCGAAAATATGTAGGTAATTTAAATAATTTATTTCTCAGACATTTCTTGATCGATTTCAAAAAAAACTTCACCGTCTTTTTTTAGTTTTGGTATATATTTAAATCCCATTCAGAGAAATTAGTGTTTTTAACATCAGGAACTTCTCCATTAAAATGCTGGAAGAGCAATTTATTTACAAATACCTCTCTATCTTGATCTTCTGTCTATTGAAGAACAAGAAATGCAAGTGGAGTTCTTAGAATCGTTTTCTAGTTCTGAATGAAGTGATAAGTTAAAAGTATGATGCATAATAAAATTAGTTACTTTAAAGTAATATACGATTCACTTAATTTCCAAGACATTTTCCTATGTTAAAAACCTGATGTATAACAACATTCTTCATACACATACCTACCTAAAATGTATATTCGTACTTCATGTTCATTAATATTAAAGTCATAAAAGTAAAAAATTAAACAGTATCAAGATCGTTTATTCCAATTTCCCTAGTATTGCTCTCAACAAAGTTTATTTTCCCTATTTGCCATGAGATTCTGGTACACCTATATAATAAATCTGTAGAGAGGTCAATTCTGTACATGAAATATATTTTCAAAATAACTATCAGGGGGTGATTAGTGATCGATACTGATGCCAAAAATGCAATGAGTAAAATTTTTGTCTGTCTGTCTGTCTGTCTGTATGTTCCTTATAGAAACAAAAACTACTCGACAGATTTTAACGAAACTTGGTACAATTATTCTTCATATATACTCCTGGGCAGGTTATAGTATACTTAGGAGCATCCCACGGCAACGGGAATTAGCGGGAAAATCCTTTTGTATGAAAAATCTAAACCGCTTAAGTTAGACGCTTGAAATTTGGCATGCAGGTACCTTAGTAAACTCAAAGCTTAGTTACAACAGGATATTGCAAAATTCCCACGGGAACGGGAGTTAGCGGGAAAAAACAGTTGTATGAAAAAATCTAAACCGTGTAAGATAGATGAAGGGGGTAAAACGAGATCCACGCGTACGAAGTCGCGGGCGGCCGCTAGTAATTTATAATTCTGTAAAAAATTTTTACAGAACTTGTGCCTCGGAATTGATTGGTTAATGGTAACACATGATTCATGTAAGTATTACTTATGTAATATATTGTCTACTTACGAAAATCCAGCTCTCCATTCGAAGTTATCCATCAGAGTCCAAGCGGTGTAGCCGAGGACCTTAACGCCATCATCGTAGATAACGTTCAAAATCTCTCCCAAGTAATCCTACAAAACAACAAAGCGATTAATTTCGCGTTTTGATTAGATAAATATATATTTTAAATCACATGACTTACGTTGAAGTAAGCGATTCGGCCGTAGTCTTCCAAAGTTCCGGGTTGGTCTGAGAAACCGTTCTCGGTGATGTAGATCGGTGGGTCGTTGTAGGTGCTCTTACACCAGCGCAGCAAGTTGGCGAAACCAGTAGGGACCACCTGTGAACATGAATAAAATTATTGTTGGGCAAATGTTTGAAGCTCGTAGAGACGATGGCCGTTGGGGCAGAAAAGTAATCGAGTGGCAACCACGGGCTGGAAGAAGTAGCGTGGGCAGGCCTCCTACTAGGTGGACCGACGATCAGGTAAAGGTCGCGTGAAGAGCCTGGATGCGGGCAGCGCAGAACCGTGCATTGTGGAAAACCTTGGGGGAGGCCTTTGTCCAGCAGTGGACGTCATTTGAAGAAATGTTTGAAGAAAATTTCCAACAAACAGGTTGATAGAAGTCTTACCCTGAGCCATTCAGAAGCAGAATCTCCACCAACTTCCATAGTAGTAACAGCTCCAATGTCCTTCAACCAAGATGGAGACTTGGCGGTAGGATCCACACCCGGACCGGTCACCAAGAACGTGGTGTAGTGATTGATGCCAAGGAAGTCAGAAGTACCCTTGATCCTTTGTAGCCAGTAATCATCGAACTGCTCCAGGCGAGACTTGGGAAGACCCTCAGCTGCACTTTGCTGGGCTACATTTTCTACCATTGCTGCAGGGTATCCTCCTTCAGCAGTGAAGATAGGGTGTGCGAACCAACCGAACTGAATCAAAAAGGAATATAACAGTAAAGTAAACGTTTCAATGAGAGAATAAATGAACAACACCTTATTAGTCAATTCAATAGCATGCAAAAACTACCTTGAACTGGTTTGCAACTTCAGCCAAAGCAACTTGCTCAGCGTTATTGGGGTCAGCAGGTTCGTACCAGATAGAATTAATAGAGATCATGATTCTGCCGTTTTGTACTGATCTGTAAGTTTCGTTGTATAAATGGTACGCCTCAGCGTGAGCCTTCAAAAGGTTGTCACTGCACAAGTAGTTGCCAACACCGTGGCTGTCGATGGCTGGCGCTTTCTTAATGTCGCCGTATGCATCCTCGCAAATTTCGTAAGGCTCATTGAATGTGATCCAAGACTTGATCCTGTCACCGAATTCCCGGAAACAAAGATCAGAGTAGTCGCGGAAATAGTCAATCATTTTAGGATTGGCCCATCCTCCAAGATCTTGAAGAGTTTGAGGTAAGTCCCAGTGGAACAGTGTAACCTAAAATAAAGAGAGAAATGGTCTAATATTATGAAAGTAGGTAATTTTACATAGAAGATTGTTGTATTCCTTTATTCGGTTTATCCTTTTTGTCAAATTAATTTGCTCGGCCTTTACCAGTGGTTCGATGTTCTTCGCGGCGAGGGCATCGAGCAGGTCGTTGTAGTATCGGATACCGTCAGGGTTGACGTAGTCTACACGACCAGTGGGCAAGATGCGGGCCCAAGAGAAAGAAAACCGGTAGAAGTCAACACCGATGTAAGCCAGCTCATCAACATCCTCCTGGTATCTGTTGTACGAGTCGCAAGCAATGTCTCCGTTGGTCCCATCAGCGATCAGCTCGGGACGAGTGTGGGAAAGGCGATCCCATACATTTTCAGATTTTCCTGGAATATATCGTAATTTATAATGCTTTTAAAAGCAATGATATTCAAGTGTAAATAAGTTGTTTATCATAACGAAACGGAACTCCATCAAGTGTCTGACTAATCTAAGTCACGAGGATACCTCTCATCTAACATAGACCACTTATATCTAGTACGCATCTACTACACGGGTGGGCACATAGGTACATCTTATTAGATAAAGCCATGACTATCAATAGTCAATACTGACATTTATAATCCTCCTCGAAACAAGATAAGAAATGTTATTTTTATTGTGTAAGAAGTTAAGAACTCACCGCTGACATTCCATGCACCTTCGATTTGGTGAGCAGCAGTCGCTATCCCAAAAGTGAAGCCTTCAGGGAACTTGGTGTACCCTGCAAGGCATCTGTAAAAAAAAGTGTCATGAAATATTTTTGTTTAAAAAATATGCTACGAGTTGCAAGTTGCTACGAACTACAGGACTACGACTACGATGTCGTAGTTTCTACAGGGATTCTCGTAGCATATCCCAGGACGTTTGTTTCAAAAGTTTTGCGTGGTTCTATGTAATAAATAATAGTGATAAAAACCTAACAACTTACTATCTATTTTGTTATGATACCTAGTTAAATTGAGGAATATAATTTATTTTTATCAATATATTTAATAATAAGAATCATATTACTTGAACTTAGCCCTCTCCTGATTGTGTATGTTATAAAATGACGCATTTTGAACTTAGGCAATTATAGATGTTTGTTTAAATTGTTAAGCTTTAAAAGTAGGTACATACCTAAATAATAAANTAATATTAATAAAAGAATAATTTCTGAGTATCAAAATAAGTTTCACGAGAAATGAAAAAAATATGATCATTTTGGTTGGCAGAGAATGCTATCCGGCATTAAGTCCGCCACAGTGTAGGTACTTGTATGTATGTGCAAGTTTTAAATAAAAATATTTTTTTTCAATGGGATGAAACAGTATTTCTAAACATATTTTTAGCACCAACTAGCAAACTCTCAGTAATATGAGGCTATGACACAGGCTGTCACAGGCATAATAGTGTTTATAAAAAAATGGGTGCACTGTATAGGTAGATATCGACTAATTACTAACAAACAATAGGTGATTCTGGCTGTATAAATGTGGACATGATTAAAATATTGATCAAAAGCGTCATTTTAATACATGTACGAGTATTTGTCGTCCAGAGTCGATATCATGCAATTGGTAAGTTCCAGTAACGTCCCGTTTGCATACAAATATTGATAACTGTAACATAATAACAAACAATAAATAGTTATAGGTGTCAAAGTTGAGTTGAGTAAGTAATTTAACTATAACAGTTCGGTTGAATACCTAAATTATGCCAATCACAGGTCGACAGCTCAAGTTCATCTGCGAAGCATTGACCGATAAAACTTAACCTCATGCTTTTTATTGGTCAACGGACCATACGGCCTTGCTGAGGATGTTGGGAGTTGTTCTTGTAAACAAAGGTACTCACGTGTGGCAGAGAGCAAGCAGTCCGATAAGCGTCCAACTCGCCATGTTGAGAGTGACGTCCCGCTGAGCCGCGATTCCTTGGCGCACTGCCGGCACGCAGCAACGACACACCTTTTTACTGAACTAACGGTATCTCAAGAGGCATCACCATTGAATTTCTCACCTTACAGATAAAGTCAAAATAAGATAATTCGATAACACCCGCGAGTTACTTATGTAATTGTAACTTTTTGAGAATTTTAACTCGCGGATAAGTCAATGTTCAAGTAGTGTTTGTTGGTCCATGAAGATAAAACAGTCAATCATAGTGATATAGCTAAAGTAAAAGTCATCTCATAGTTAGATATTTTTATGATGAGAAGCATTGACTACGAGGTAAATTGGGTTTTTAGGTACAAAACTATTTCAGAAATATTTTCAATAATAAACAGTTTTCATTAAAACAGGATATTTTGTTTGAAAATTGAAAACTAAGCTACCAAAACAAAAATTAAGGAAAAATTATAATTATATTTTTTCCTTAATTTACGGCTCGACCTTACAAAGGCTTCGATGCCATTGATTGCATTGACAACGGATTAAGGAAGGATGACTTGACCAAAAAGGAAAGAACCTACCTACCCAATTATCATTTTAATTAAATTTAAAATCTAAAAATTAATTCAGATAATTTACCGCTCAACTCATAAACATAACCTACTAAGGATTGACGGCTTTTCCGAATAGTATTCGAAATTAGTCAGAAGATATCATTCTCCCATTGTGTAAGTCGCATGGACGGCACAAGGGCTTGCTTATCGTAATACCTACTCGACTTCTTGTTTAAAATAAGACAAGTGTTTATATCTCCCGAGGTTTATTATCTACAGTTCAAGTTTCGCCATTTTCCTGAATGGAACCGGCCCTGTCAGCACCTCACGCAGTTGCAGTTTCAACACTCTTCAAAGTCCAAAAAGGACGTAAAATGTGGTCTCTACAGAAAACTTATTTAAAAACAGCTGTCCGATAAAATTTCATCTAGCTTAGGTTTCGTCAAGTAGTCCCTGCATGACGCACAAATAGTCCACGGAGGTGGCGAGCGAGTGAGCGAGCAGGATGCCTCTGGTGAGCACCTCCCGGACCTTCCACACGTCGTGCAAGTTGCACGGGCGGAAGAACACGGCAAGTGCTCGCCGCATGATGCTCGTGGGAAGAAACCGCCATGGTTGGTCGAGGCGCCAGCTGAAATTGTACGATTCCATGTAAGAAAATGGAATGAAATTATGCGTGTAGACAGAGGCAGCTTTACCCATGGTGCAGGGTGTATGATGCACACGGGTGCACGGTCCCATGGGGGCGCAGCACCCTTACTAGAGATTACTAAAGGTAATTGATNTTAATGATTGCTCACGGGCGCTACATGGGCTAGAGACGGGTCCCGTACTTACGTAGTGGCGAAGGTCCATTTAACGAAGTACGTTTTAGCGAAAAACATTCATGGTGGTACGCTGAAGCGAAAGGCTACTGAAGCAAAACACACGCGACCGAAAAAGTAATTTGAATTCTGTACTTTCGATGACAGTCTCTGCTTGTAGACGTTAAAGATATTTATTGATTTACTCCTCCTTACCTCAAATAGAGCCCCTCATATGTGAAGTAAGTCATCACTAAGATGAACACCGGGTAAATAAGGGGCATAATGACGAGCAGACACAGAAGCATAGTTCCAATGAGTTTGAGGAAGGTGGGAAAAGGCGCGCCATATCGCCATAGAGAGTGTACATCGTTGGCGAACTCGCGCGCAAGCACTCGCAGCCGACCCAGTCGCGACGCCGAGCGTAGCTGCTAGAGAGATAATACTTTACACACAATTCCATCAAATATTCGTGACATTTTCGATAAATTCATACACAAATAAATTAATGTATAGTTTTCCTTCGCGAGCTTCATGGCAGGCATTATCTATCCGTTAACCATTGCTGGTGAAGTTTTATAGGCGTTCAAGATTTAAAAACAATTGTAGCTATAAAGTACCCAGTAGAAGGGGGTAAAATGGAACTTTTAGATGTCCATTAATCTGAGATTTGTAGTAAGTAGATCCTATCTAATCACACAATATTATAAGTAGGCTGCAATGACAGTTTCCTTAACTTGCAAAGTGTTTATAAATTATTACATTTTAACAAAACTGCACTCTTACTTGAACCATAAAAACTTTGTTAGCCCGGCGATATGGTTTCATACTGGGCCCAGTTTTGGCTTTGGTATTTTGGGTCACTAATATTATTCCCAAACTTCATACTTTTGCATTGTAATTTATAACAGATGATCTAATTTTATATTTTTTCTATTTTTTATTCATTTTGTAACATTGCACTTTAAACTCATACGTTTTGTCATCTTTGGACATCTTATTGACATTGACACGGACATAATCATAGATTAATAAAACCATAATTATTTTTATCATTATCAACTTTAAAATTATTTCAACGTCAAAGATAATGTAGTTAATAAGACCTAATTAACAACCTAATACGTTACATAATTAATTATGTAAACCAATTATAAAACAACATATAAGTTCCTCCAGGGTTTGCTTGCGTTTAGAATATTATTGTGCTTTATTATTTATACTAGCTTTCCGCCCGCGGCTTCGCCCGCGTGGAATTTTGTCTGTCACAGAAAAACTTTATCGCGCGCGTCCCTGTTTCAAAAACCGGGATAAAAACTATCCTATGTTCTTTCCCGGGACTCAAACTATCTCTATGCCAAATTTCATCAAAATCGGTTGCGAGGTTTAAGCGGGAAAGCGTAACAGACAGACAGACAGACAGACAGACAGAGTTACTTTCGCATTTATAATATTAGTTGGGATTACTTTCGCATTTATAATATTAGTTGGGATTGTATTAAATGTAGCTGAATTAGAGTCTAAGCTCATGAAACAGTAGCCTTTAATAAAACATGTTTGATGATGTTAAAATAACAGGTAATTCGCAACAATTATTGTAAGTACAACTTCAGCCGACATGATGTCGACAGAATTAACTTTAGACGATATACGTACCTATATTTACGTCTATTTCATACACATTTTATATTCACAAAAATATGAGTATTTTTAGTTAACGTTATCTGCCTCGATATCAATAATTTGTTTGTATTAAATAAATAAAACTTATCAGTTCGTTCTTATTTTGAAGTCCATCGTACAAAATTTAATCTAATACTATTATAAATATTGAAACCCTGCATTGAATGCTCATTTGTGAAAGCGGGGCGCTAGCCGAATAGCGTCTAGTAAAAATGTTTATTTATTTATTTGCTATTGCGTTATTTTTGCTTTTTACACATGTGGTGTTTAACTATAATGTGAGAGCACGGGCGTTGAGGAAAATACCAGGAATGAAAGACCAATTTATAGTCGGAAATGCATTAGAACTTCTGCTTTCACCAGGTAAAAATAATAAAAAATATGGATAAAATAATATAAGCATAAAATTTATATTAATGTAATCAGTGGTAACATAGTGTTTTCGGATTTCAGTGGAGCTTTTTAAGCTACCAAGAAAATACGCACAAAAATATGAAAAAATATACAGATTTTGGTCGTTTCCTTTTGCAGCTGTTATGATTTACGAACCAAGTGATATTGAGGTATGATTTTAAAATTCTATTCTAAGTTACGGCTTTATACCTAATCTTAAAAAGAGTCCTTCGACGTAATTATGCCAATTTTGTTAAATTTTTTGTAATTTTCCTATTCTTGCACGTATAGGTTGATAAGTATATCAATATACCTACAATAGAGCATTTAATAATGTTATAATTAATCGCCATAGTGATAATTGACAAAACTATTATTAGGTATAAGAATGAGATAAGAATTAAATCATTTTGGATTATTTATAGGCCTGATAGACCACTCATTTCAACTACAGAATATCTCTACCTACTAATTGCTTGGGGGAGAACTTTGTCCAGCTGTGGACGTCTTTCGGCTGAAACGAATAAACGAACGAACTAATGTTTTACAGAAAGTGTTATCCAGCACAAAACATAATAACAAAGGTCCGCTGTACATGATTTTGAAACCATGGCTGCAAGATGGACTTCTTTTGAGTAACGGTAAGTAATATTAAATATTTTAACATGTTACCACGTTTCAGATAAAAAAATGTAAATAAAACGACATAATTTATCAGTTCACGGGAAATGTTACATGCCATTCATCAATACAAATATTATGTATAATGTTGAACTTCGGTCTGAACGAGATAAAATTATCACATTTTAATAGTGTTGAACTTTGAGGGCCAAATAAATCAACCACTGCACATTTCAGAGCTTTTTTTATCAATAATAATGACTTATTATTATTTAATAATTAGGCCATTGCCTTTTCAAGTCAACGACCCTTAATTGATATTGATATACCTAATGGTTCAACGTTTCTTGTACTCCATGTGCTGTAGCAGAAACTTTTGCCAGATAAATCACTTTTATTTAGGTTTCTTCGACTTAACAAGGCTGCTACACGCGAGGTCATTATTCGTAGATCACAATATATTTTTTACTCAATAAACTTGTGCGATTAATTGAATCAGAATTTTTATTTGCGTTGGTACCGTATGTTCTAACTAAAGAAAATAATGCAACTTGTTTACCAAATCGTTCGTGTGTCTACATTGATAACTAAAGCTTTTAATTGATGTTGAAACTGAAAGATAGACTTCAGTACCTACCTAGGTAAATTATTCCGCAGTTACTCATGGTCTGATATCATATGATGACACATATTTTCTTGTGGCTACGGGTATTGAATCAATAATAGAAACTACAAGGAATCTAACCTACATAATATAAAACGACAATGAATGCCAAAAAGGACGCCCGCTTAGGTACTAACATCTTGGCAGCTAAAAATACAGTGCCACAAACTGCATTGCTCTCTCTAGATAGGTACATATTTTTATTTCAGGTTCAACCTTGATATGAAAACATAGATGATTTTAATTATAATTTAATTTTAAGGTGCAAAATGGCAGCAACGCCGAAAGATTCTGACGCCTGCCTTCCACTTCAACATCCTGAAGCAGTTCAGCGTGACCCTGGATGAGAACAGCCAGCGAATGGCCAAGTCACTGGAGAAGCTGGATGGGAACAAAGTCGACGTGGTGCCACTCATCTCGGAGTTCACCCTGAATTCTATATGCGGTAAGACTTATTTATTGAGACGACATATCTTTCATACTTTTATGAACTGGCACGCCATTAAACCATAGTTTTTGCATATCAGTGGAAGTCTGGGATGTTTTTGTTTACAACTCACAAACATTGAAAGAAACAAAAAAAGCTAATTTAATAGTTATTTGAAAGCTTTTAGAATTTTGTTTTTTAGCCCTGTGCTTGGCCGGTTTTTTTAAATTTAGAATTCAACCAAAATAGTTTAATTAGGTTAAAGTAATAATACCTACTTATTACCTAATACCACAATGTAAATACTAAATACTTACGAAAATAAATAGTACTCTACCTATTAATATCAATTATTTTTGCGCGCTCCTCGTCATTATGATTAATTAATGTTGAAAATATTAATTAATGTAAAGTCAAGAATTATAGTTTGATAGATATGTGCATTATGTAATCAATCTTAATTAGTAATGTAAATATTACAGTTGTTAATAATTATATTTTACATTTATCCAACTATTTGCCTTCAAACGAATGTAAGGAGTAATTGTTAACATTACGCTGGGTTTTAGTTTCAGCAATTGTAATGCAATTATTACAGTTTAACAGTTTTATAAAAAGGCGATAATAAATCAGATATTTTAGTAACTGGGTATTTATCTATAAAATAAAGGTCTCTTTTAATTTTAGAAACATCAATGGGTACTTACCTCTCTGACGAAACTTCTTCAGTAGCAATGAAGTACAAAGAAGCAATATACGAACTCGGAAAGATGTTCGTTGAGAGATTCACCAAAGTGATTTACCTGATAGATTTCTTTTTCTCTCTGTCCACGATTGGGAGAAGACAGCAAAAACACTTGAACACTGTGCACACATTTACCAAGAGGATTATACAAGATCGGAGACATTATGTAGAAGAATTCGGAATCGATATCAATGAACATAATATTGACCAAGAGGAAACTTTCTATACCAAAAAGAAGACGGCTATGTTAGACCTTTTGATATCGGCTCAAAAGAAAGGATTAATTGATAATACTGGTGTGCAAGAAGAAGTGGACACATTTATGTTCGAGGTAAAAACTACTTACTTTAAATGAACCACGAAGAAAATAAAGTTATTAGGCTAACAATGATAAAATAGATTATTATTTAAACAGGGTCACGACACTACTGCTGCAGCTTTAGCATTTGCTTTGATGTCAATCGCCAACGACAGCAAAATTCAGGTACTTACCTATACAATTTTCTCAAGTAATTTGTAGTACTGAGATCTCTAATTAATGATTTTTGTTGTGATTATTTCTAGGGCAAAATATTTGTTGAACTTGACGGAATATTTGGTGGGTCTGATAGACCGACCTCTATGGACGACTTTTCAAAGATGCATTACTTGGAGTGCTGTATTAAAGAGACTCTACGACTCTACCCGCCAGTGCACTTCATGGCTAGGCGATTAGGAGAAACCGTCCAGTTAGGTAAGATTTTTTTAAATATTTACATGTCTATTTCGATAGTAAAATACTAATCTACAACAGACGATAATTATGCAGATTACGAAACTATCAGTCTTATTAATAGTAAATCGCTAAAATTGATAAGTTATTAATCTTGTTTGTGTTGTTTTTAGATAATTACACCGTAGACGAAGGAACTATGTGCGTAGTGCTCATCTACGACATGCAACGACGAGAGGATTTGTACAAGGATCCACTGAAATTTGATCCTGAGCGCTTCTTCCCTGAAAATAGTCAGAAGCGCCATCCGTACGCGTATATACCGTTTAGTGCTGGCCCTAGAAACTGTATAGGTAGGTACCTATCACAATATTTTTAAATAATACGTGTCGCTAGAAATTATGTAACCCTAACGAAAGTTACAGATAATAACTTGTACAAATATTTTAAGCAAAATCTAACCTTAATAAATTCGGTTGTATGTCTGTGCTACGTCGTAGCAAGTTCTCTTCCTTTTGAACCAACATCTTTTGTAGCTACGTGCATATTGCAAAAAAAAGTACGTTTTCTATAAATGTATCCAGATAAAGAGCACATAAATTAATTAAATTCAATTTGATTTGATCGAGTTTATTGAACTCGTGAATCATAAATGAATGAGTTACTGTTAAATATTCAATTGGAAATCTCGTAGCATATTTATTAGGGTGTATCAACTCTACCTAGTGTCTAATATCTAATACCTATTTACAGGTCAAAAGTTTGCTATGATAGAAATGAAAGCAGCATTAGCAGCTGTTCTACGGAAATTCCGACTGGAGCCCGTGACCGGCCACTCGGACATAGAGATCACAGCCGACGTTGTTCTGAGGACCTCCCATCCGATATACGTCAAATTCATCAAGAGAAAATAGACGAAATATTAAGCATAAGTTAAGATAGAAAGGCGAAAATAAAGGTAACATTCCTTAATAAGTGACTTTTATGTTTGAGTTGTCGTTTGTTTGTTAAATAAATAATGTTAGTAGGTATTCCTACTACAAGATTAATGTGTGTTTTATAAGAAGTATTACATCTCTGTTGAGGCATATCTATATAAATTATACTATCATGCATTTGTATTGTATCTGCCAAATAAAAATTTGTTATGCGCTTATTGAGTTTTGTAATTTGGTCTTTTTGTTCATTTAGGTACCTACTATTTCTGGTTTACTTAATGTTGAAAATGAACATCTATCTATTGCCTTAAAGTATTCTATTTAATGAATCTACACGTTTTATGATTATTATATCAATTCAAGTTTTAAAGCGTGTATTTTAATTTCATTTTATGACGTTCCGGTGACTGTTAAATGTAAAGCTCTACATTTCAGAAGTATCCATCATTTTGTATGCGTGAATCTGTATAAACACAGTGATATTTTTTTATTGATTTTCTTATGGTATTATCTTAAGGTACCTTGAACTTATTACACTATTCACTGCTAAGGTTATCGAAATTAATTGATACTTCCAATATGTACAAGAAAAACTACACAATATTTGACTGAAATAGAGCAGTTTGATATAAAAAAAATGTTTTAACATATACTAGTAAATGGCATAATGACGGTCATAGCACAAGAGTAAATACCTTTATATGTATGCGTTCATTTATTCGTTTAAATTGCCCATTTTTACATTGATAGATTAAGCATATGAAATCCTGAATTTTTTCATTTACTTTTTAATGTTTACTAAATAATTACAAACTTGCGTTACAAAATATCGAAAATTACTTATGTACGTACATTTAAGCACTTCCATGCGTGAAATTATTCGCAATTAGGTAGGATGACCGATTACAGCTGCCACACCGATGTACCGAGTTTTAGTGTTCAGTTGAACGCATTTTGCCGTTCTGCACGGACAGTTTGTGTAAAAATGATAGTATATCTGCTTATTGCAGTAATTATTGTGTTGTGTTTCGCCGAACTCTACTTGAACCACAGTAAGCTAGCAAGAGAATTGAAAAAAGTACCCGGACCGAAGAATCATTTCATCCTGGGAAATGGCTTAGAAATCATTGTATCGCCAGGTAAATTACAAAATAAATTCATTAGAAATCTCGATAACAACTGAATCGAAAATACAAACGGTCAAACATATTGTACCTACTCATATTTTATGTATTTGTAATAGGTGCTAATTTGCAATAAAATGTGTAGTCAGATGTCTGTACACACTGGTCTGGTAAGTATATTTGCCAGTATCGGTGTAATAAGCAAAATTATTAGTATTTTCATTTTTGAGATATTCTCGTTAATTTAATGACTAAAATATCTAGTAAAAAGAACAAAGGAAAATTATTAATTAATGAACGTTTCATTTCAGTCGAGTTATTTAAGTTGGGGAGAAAATATGCCAATAAATGGAACGGGATCTACAGAATTTGGGCGTATCCTTTCGGTGCCGTGAATATTTATAATCCAGAAGACATCGAGGTAAACATTTCATCTCTCTTTAGTATTTAACTTGCTCGCTGTATTACAAAGATGTTTTTGTATAGATTTTGAATTTGGAAGTAGGTGTCCTTCATACAGAGCTACAGACATTTAACGTATTAAAATATTATTTTAGGTAGAAAGTAGGTACTACACTCCGATCCGCTTAGCACACCAACAAATGATATTTTGGGCATATTTGCCCATTCGGGCAAATATTTATTTAAGCCGTATCTTTTCGACTTCATGAACATCCGGATAATATATTGATATTTGCATGTTAATGGAACTGCAACAAGTTATGTTGTATAACCTGCTTTGTCCTATGTTATGTTACAGTTGTATTGTATGTATGTATTGTGCACCAAATAAAATAAATAAATAAATATATTTTCTAGGAAAATGTTCAAATCTTAATGAATGGCATAGGATAAAAGTGTCCTCAATTAAAAGAACATAAGTATACTATATTACAAAAGTATAATATATTTTTTACAAAACGCCTGCAATTTAGGCCATTGCAGCACTTAGGTACTACCACCACAGTTAATATTAAATGGTCATGGTAGCAAAACAGGTAATTAATAAAATTTTAAAAGAGGTGATAACATCTTTATTACTCGACACGTTTATATTCGTTCGCTCTCAGGACTTTTTTCATTGTGATACGAGAGATAGTACATATTTTCAGCAAGATTTGCATCTCAAATAAGTTTTGTAAAACTTCACAAAATCCGAATACTGTATTATAATCCTCAAGACATTGAAGTAAATTATTTAGTTATTGTAGCTTCGATAGTGTGTAGGTACTTAGTGGAAATGTATAAGAGGTTAAAAATAAAAATAATAACAATAATAAAAATATTGTAATTGCATGCTATAAGTATTAAAACATAATGATGGTCATAACAATAACAAGAGGTGAGTAACAGATGCAGTCGTCGGTACTTAACTGATAATAAAGTGAATCGACATATTGTGTACAGTTAATTATAATAGGACAGAAGATTATGTTGTTGCTAGGACCAATTAACGTAATAAACACTTTAATCGGCCTTAAGGTTAAGCTTTGAGATATAACACTTATAAAATTAAATATACGTTTAAAAATATCAAATAACAAGCCGCGGTTTCGCTCTTGTGAAATTCAGTTTTTCACAGATCGTTAGGTATATTCTGGTGTACTGTTTGTACATAATAACAATAATAAAAATATTTTCTGCTCGTTTGCCTCCTGACACATAAAAACAAAATACTTACTGTAAATTTCATCAAAATTCGTTAAGTAATTTTTGACTGAAAAAGTAACTAACATCCATAATTCACAAACTTTTACATTTATAATATTAGTATGATTTATAAACTTCTATTGAAATAACGAATACAGGCCTACTTGAATTGAGATCAATTGCATTATTTTTACACATTTCCTCATGTTTTCAGATAGTGGTGTCGACTATGAAACACAGCGACAAAAGCCCAATATACAAGCTGCTAAAGCCCTGGCTTCGCGACGGACTATTATTGAGTAGTGGTAATGTTCTATAGCTATTTAACCAACTTCAAAAACGGATGAGGTTTTTAAGATACCTTTTTTAAATAAATAAAAATAACTCGCTTTTGACGGAAATTTCAGCACAAAATCTAGTAGTATTCCGTAGTTTTTGGCTGAGCTCAAATCAGTCTATTTGGATAAACGATTTTATGATTATGAGCATAGTTCAATCTGCAGAATGTAAATAACTTATGCTGCTTTTTCAGGTGCCAAATGGCAACAACGAAGAAAAATTTTAACACCAACGTTTCATTTTAACATCTTGCGGCAATTCTACGTTACTCTGGAAGAGAATAGCCGTCGTTTAGTAAATAAGTTGGACGCAACGTTGGGAGAGCCTGTCAACGTCACGCCGCTACTCTCCGAATATACGCTGAATTCCATTTGCGGTTAGTATAGTAAACAAAATGTAATTCTTCTGAACTATTTTTTTTTAAACCTATTTAACTTTTTCGTCAAATGTTTGTTACAATCCAAAACAAGATTCTTATGAAGAATAGTTGGAAAATTTTACGGGAAAATCTTGCTAATTTTCTTTTTCCTATACATTGTTGGGTGGAATGATGTCTATTGGGACATTCGGGACTGATACTGAAATGATTGACTTACGAAATATTTCAAATTGCAGAAACTGCCATGGGAACACAATTAAGTGGAGAAACTTCCAAATCCGCGAAATCTTACAAAGAGGCTATTTACAAACTTGGAAATTACCTAGTGGAAAGATTCGTCAGGATTTACTTATATTACGATTGTTTATTCGCTTTTTCTACGCTTGGGAAAAAACAGAAGAATGCTTTGGAAACGATACATCGTTTCACAGATAAAGTCATTCGTGATAGAAAAGAAAATTTTGTTGAACAAAACACAGAGACCGAAGACGGCGACGCACATTTATATGTGCACAGAAAAAAGAAAAGGACAGCAATGTTGGATCTGTTGATAACGGCCGAGAAAGAAGGACTGATCGATGAGTTGGGCATAAAAGAAGAAGTTGACACATTTATGTTCGAAGTATGTACCTATTGTACCTACACCTATCAACTTTTGCTGCTTGCTTGAGGGTTTAGTAAACTGGGGTTATGAACTATTATATTCTTTCAGGGACATGATACTACAGCAGTGGGGCTAACGTTTTTCCTAATGTTGTTAGCAAATAACAAAGAAGCACAGGTACCGATATTTCCCTTTATTTTGTATGTATTTACAGAAACGTTTTTCAGGCTTTAACAAATTATCCTTTTTGATTCAGGACAAAATAGTGGCAGAGTTGAACGAAATATTTGATGACTCGAACAGACCAGTGAAAGTTGAAGATTTGCCTAAGATGCGCTACCTGGAATGCTGCGTCAAGGAATCTCTACGGCTCTACCCACCGGTTCATTTTATAAGTCGTACAATAAGTGAAACTGTGGTGCTAAGTATGTATATTTTGAATGTCTATGAAGTCTAACGCCCGTATTCACAAACATTACTATGAGGTCTCACAGTGCGCGTGGACGCACAGGGTTCGCACGAACCAATCACAGAGCTCTATTCAACGCTGTGCGTTCGCTTTGCTGCTTCACTTAAGCAAGCATCGTTTGTGAATACGGGTGTAAGGCTGAGTTACACCACCTTATTTTAACCGTAACAATAACCGGATATTTATAGATTTTTGACATTTGTCAAGGTTAAAGTAAGATGGTGCAACTCAGCCTTATTGTACAGAGGTCGGCACATCAAGCTTAACACGTTAGAATCTTATGCAGTTGTAATAACAGTGATTTTGCAACGACGTTTATTCATGTGCTGTCGACTGCAGTCTGCACGTCAGCTAATGGCATTGCCCGTAATTTTCTTTGATATGTGAAAGGAGTATGGAAGTGATAGTAAGTAATTTTCAATCAAACAAGTTAGTAAACTGTTATGCACGTGCTATTCTTCTTTTTGCAGGTAATTACACCGTACCAGCTGGTTCGTTGTGCCATATACACATATACGACTTGCACCGTCGCGAGGACCTGTTCAAAGACGCATTGAAATTCGACCCTGACCGGTTTTTACCGGAAAATTGCATAGGACGGCATCCTTATGCGTATATACCTTTCAGCGCGGGCCCTCGCAACTGCATAGGTATATATCTACAATCTATATACTAGCACATTTTTTGTCATGTAAAGTAAGACAATAACACATACGAGAAAGGCCAATAAAAAAAGATAATGCGTAAACGCACATAAGAAAAGATAATGCGTGTCGTAGGTTTTATTCTACAGTCACTCGGGGCGACTGATACCCTTCAGTATCAAATAGGACCAAAACATAATTGCGAATTCAGATTTCTCTCTCTCTATTTCAAACCATCCTTGTAAACAACGAATCAAAGTTAGTCAAACGAATTAAAGCTTACAGCTAAATAATAAATAAAATCAAAGTGAAAAATAAAAATTAAATTCGCAATTAAGAAGGTTTATGTCACCCAGACTGACTATTCTAAATGCTAAACAAAATCCACTGTATTTCTTGAAACCATATTCCAAATGGTAGGTACTACTATTTAAATACACGTTTATCAAAACACGTTTGGCTAAATGCAAAAAATCCGGTGGGTACCTACCTACCTATAGTCGTAATTTTAAAGATTCATTTTCCTAGGCATATTAAGATGAAATCTTCAACGTTTCATTTAAGATTACTAAATATTTCGTATTTTCGTGCATTATTTCGTTTGTTCAACAAAGTAAGAGTGCATTGTATCATTATCTTAGCGTATAAATAAAGTACCTACCTATGCGTAGGTTATAGGTAGGTACGTCTTACTCATGCACATGCCTCACAAACAAAAATATTTCTTTTGTTAGACTTTCAGGTTTCTGAGAAATGTAATTAAGAAAAGAGTAAAGAAGTTTTGTAAATTACAAATTATTCTATATTACAAAATGTATTAGTACATGACACAAACAAATTTATTCCTTTTGTTGAAGACTGATTAACGCTCCTGAAATTGTCTTAAAGAAAACCATAAAAAGAACATTAACAATTAATGAGTTTTCACGTTTGTAGGTACCTAGGTAAATTACAAATTATTCTTCACTAGTGGCCGCCCGCGACTTCGTACGCGTGGATCCCGTTTTACCCCCTTCATCTATCTTACGCGGTTTAGATTTTTTCATACAAATGTTTTTTGCTGCTCCTAAGTAGGTATACTATAACCTGCCCAGGAGTATGAAGAATAATTGTACCAAGTTTCGGTAAAATCCGTCGAGTAGTTTTTGTTTCTATAAGGAACAGACAGACAAAAATTTTACTCCTTGCATTTTTGGCATCAGTATCGACACGGTATCGATGACTAATCACCCCTGATAGTTATTTTGAAAATATATTTCATGTACAGAATTGACCTCTCTACAGATTTATTATAAGTATAGATTACAAAATGTATTAGTATAAGTACGCTGTTATACAACTTTGTATTTCTAACTACAGTCATGATGTATCATTATCAGTCATGATGATCTAGCTTGTTAGTCTGACAAAAATGAATATTCTGATAATTATGTTTAAAAATGGTAAACAAAATAAAATAGAAGCTTGGTAAAGTAGCGAACTCTATGTTACCTTGGTTGCATACGACAAATATAACTTTGTGAACTTTATATTTATCACTTTTGTGTAAGCAGGAAATAAAAGTTGTGTTAAGCCTACGCACCAAAATATTTTACACGGCATTGAATTTTATTAAAATTCGTATTTATACCTTACTTATTTTGATAATTGTCTCAATGTTGGCTGGCAAGACAACATTTTAATGTGACATGTAAACTATGTAAAGCCTCCATGAAGGCAAATGCCATACTTAGGAATCTTTTAGTCATAATAATCAGACTAAACATAAGGAAATGTTTAACTTTGACTTTGTTGATCTATAATTGCTTTCAGGTCAGAAATTCGCGCTGATGGAGATGAAATGTGTCGTTTCCACGCTTTTGCGTAATTATGTCCTGCTGCCCGTGACGCGACCTTCGGACATCGAGATTGCTGCCGACATTGTCATGAGAAATAATGGGCCCATAAATGTCAAGTTCGAGAGAAGGTTCAAATGATAATATAGAACAAAATGTACCGTATTAATTAATATTAAGTTTAATATATTATTACGTTAAATAATTCGTTCTTTTTCTGAATTATGGAAATACAACATTATCTTACAGAACAAAGACTTTAATTACTATTACTCATAAAAACAAAATATTCACCAAAAACAAAGGAGAAATCGCAAAAACAAAGTTAACATTGACTATCGCGGTTATCGTGGTATTATTAGATAGGGCTCCGGCTCTACCCGCCTTGATGTGACTATTCATCAAGTAAGATAAGTTGACCGCTGACAATAAACAACAAACAAAAGTAACGTTCTAGTTACATGACAGCGGAACCCTAATTTAACGATAGTATCATAAACCGAGCACCGAGTCGAGAGTTCTCGGCGAGCGCTGCGCAGACGCGGTCGGCACAATGTTCACTGTATTACTTACAATTATCGCTATTGTACTATTTTCACTGCATCTTTTGTTCAATTACAATGAAAATGCACGGCTGTTTAGGAAAATACCCGGCCCTCAAGGAGTCTTTATAGTGGGAAATGCACTCGAGTACCTTGTCACTCCAGGTAGGAGCTATCATAGCAGTTACTATCATATTCTTTGTTTGATAAACAAGTTTTCTATATCCTTATGCGTCTTTAAGTTACAAAAAAGCTACCTAGAATACAAACAAGTGTTGCAACGAAAATGCTATGTTGACTTGCATTCGTTGATTCCTTTAAATATAATAAAAAACGCTTTACAAAACGTAACAAGTCTTAGTTATAATGGTAACTTGATTTCCCTGGATATACGGGTGATATTCTGGTCACTAATACGCTTAAACTTGATGCTGTATAATAATAAATCGTCGTGCATCTATGGATATGGACTTGTTCTACAACTAATATTAAACAAAGTCAGTTCGAGTTGCAGATAAAATTCAATGAGTTCACAAAAGTGTTTTACTTTACATATTCCAGTTGAACTATTCAAACATCTAAGAAAATTGGCGAGCAAATGGGACCGAATGTACAAGTTTTGGGCTTTTAACATCGGTGCAATAAACATATACGCGCCAGACGATATCGAGGTTTGTTTTTTACATCATAAATGGAATGTATGCTATTTTTAACTTACCGGTAATTATTAATTTACAGACGATAATTTCTACAACGAAACATAACGGCAAAAGCCACATATACACCTTTTTAAGTCCCTGGTTGAAAGATGGGCTACTCTTGAGTAACGGTAAGTTCCTTAAACTATAACTTTCATGACTTACCCAAGTAACATTGCATCTAATTTAAAACTTATTTTTCAGGAGCAAAATGGCAACAGCGGAGGAAAATTCTGACGCCGGCATTTCATTTTAATATTCTACGCAAGTTCCATACGTCAATCGAGGAGAACACCCAGAGGATGGTAGAGACGCTAGACAAAGCTCGGGGGAAGGAGGTCGACGTCATACCTCTGCTGTCTGAGTTCACGCTGAACTCTATTTGTGGTAAGCTATTCTGAGAAACATTTGAAAAAACTCGACTCGTCAGTGGTGACGAGTCAAGTTTGAATACTAGCCCCCTTACTAATAAAAAGTTACACAGTTGTTGATCACTGTTTTAAAATGACATTTCCATACTAAACGTCACTTTAAAAAACACTGATCAACGAGCGTGTAAGTTTTATTAGTAAGGGGGTTTGACTCTAAATTCTATAGAATGAAAAAAAAACTTTCGTAAATCGAAAATACACTTTTTTTCTTGTATAGAGTTCCGTCGTCACCCTTTAGGCCTTAAATACAGGGCGTAATTTTAATGTTGGTGCGGCATGTATCCTGCCACTGTGACTGATTTATTGTAGTTTTCAGAAACAGCCATGGGAACTCGCCTTACTGAAGAATTATCTGACGCCGGAAAACCTTATAAAGCTGCAATTTATGAGCTCGGAAAACTCCTTGTTCAAAGAGTCACCAGAATTTATTTACATGCAAATATCTTATTTAACTTTTCATCTATTGGGAAAAAGCAGGAGAAATGCCTAGACACAGTACACAGCCTTACAAGAAAAGTGATTAAAGAACGAAAGGAGTACGTAGAAAAAAATGGCTTCGATATTTATGAAACAGACAATGATGACACAGTATTCCTAAACCAGAGAAGGAAGAAAACAGCTATGTTAGATTTAATGCTCTTAGCTCAAAAAGATGACTTGATTGATGATGATGGCATACAGGAGGAGGTTGATACTTTCATGTTTGAGGTAAGTATATAAAGTGCAATGACCAATAAGAAATAGTCATTAGAAAATATACGTTTACTGAAGATGGAAACATTTTGTGTTTATTTATAGGGACATGACACAACAGCAGCTGGATTAACATATTGTTTGATGATGTTAGCAAACAACAATCAAATACAGGTAAGTTGCAATCTATACAGAAGTAAGTATTTAGCATTTTTTAATCATTAAGTAGTACCTATAAGGAAAAAAACATTTAGTAAATACTTTCAAGAATACGAATAAGTCATTACAATACTGAGGTGTAAGTTTCAGATCTAGGGACTTAATTATTTTCAGGGCAAAATATTTGACGAGTTACGTGAGGTGTTCGGAGCTTCAGAGCGATCAGCTACTATGGAAGACTTGACGAAACTGCGGTACCTAGAATGCTGTATCAAGGAATCCATGCGACTCTACCCGCCCGTGCCTTTCATAAGCCGGACACTAACTGAAAATGTTAAACTGGGTACGAGTGACATTAGATACCTACTACATATTATTTTCCAAAACCATTGAATAAATGTCTCAGTCAGTAGACAACTGTAACATCATCGAAAATGATAGTGGAACATGATCGACTATAAGAGTCGAGTTAATATGAAGACAAAAGTACAAATTATTATAAAAATAACAACAATAAATATGAGGTATTATTGACGGCTGCCTGGGCTTGTGATTGGCGTACTAGACAACAATATAATGTGCCATTGTAGGTACATCTCTTGGAAGGCAAATGTCAGTGTAATGAGCATATAATTACCCGAAGTCACGGAAAATTAATACGTAATTACATGAAAATAATACGTTTATTACTTTTGGAGTAGATAGATTTCAGTAGGTAGGTACTAATTAATTTGTATAACATTTTATTTATGTTTCTAGGGGAATACATAATTCCAAAGGGGACGTACTGTCACATACACATCTTCGACCTGCACCGGCGCGAGGACTTATATCCGAACCCCACACAGTTCATCCCAGATCGGTTCTTACCAGAAAACTGTATAGGCCGGCATCCCTTCGCCTACATCCCATTTAGCGCTGGACCTCGTAATTGTATAGGTACTTGTATAATTTATTTTTGTTCTAAGAAGAGTGTAACAACTCTATCACACGTCCTACGGTATAAAATCCTAAATGCGAAAGTTTGGATGTCTGGATGTTTGTTACTCTTTCACGCAAAAAATACTGAACGGATTTTGATGAAACTTTACAGTATTATTGTTTATAACACAGAATAACATATAGGCTATAATTTATGACGATCTGTGACAAACTAAATTTCACGCGGATGCAACCGCGGGAAAAAGCTAGTGAGGTATAAAGAATCAGATTTATTCAAGTCTGCAATGTCCTAACGGGAACAAATACTTGGTGTATTTATTTATTATTGAACTCAGACCCTGAGTAGAAATAACCAACCACTTTTACGTAGCAATGCTACGATCATGGAGGTTCATTGCCTGCGCACATGAATTACGTAGGCGTTCAGATTTCACATTAACTCAAAAAGATAAATTAGTGACTCAAAAAAAGAAATAAATAGGTATGTAGGTACTTAGCTAGCTAAACTTTTTAATCTTTTCAATCTCATCTTTTCAGGACAGAAATTCGCGATGTTAGAGATGAAATCCGCAGTTTCAGCAATATTGCGGCGATTTCAACTGGTACCTGTCACCCGGCCCGAAGACCTGAAGCTTGCCTCAGATTTAGTATTAAGAAACTCCGAACCTGTATACGTCTCTTTTATAAGACGAACAATATAAATGACTGATTTAACCAACTGCAGAGTGTGTTGTTTTGCTACCAATTTAGAAGCGTTGTTTTTTGTTAAAGGTCTATTCACAATAACGAAGCAAACAAACTTTCGTTAATTTTGACGCATGTTAGAGTTAAAGCGTAATTATTTTATCTAGATAAATGCATTTTAGATAGATAAATTGCAACTGGTTAGAGTAATAAACACGTCTAATCTATGAATTGCGTCAAAACGGAACTACTTTTTTACATTAGCCGCAGTCTTATTCTGTCTCTTGTGAATTCAGCCTTAATTAGCTAAAAATAGACGCGTTCCCGGCTCGTAGTCGTAGCACTTGGCACATTTGGCCGATATTTATAAACCCGCGTGAAGTATGATGGTCCAGTACAACGCGCGCGGAAGCCGCGTCCGAATCGCACGCTGCTCTCTCCGCGAACTCGCGCGCTTGGTGTCGCATGCGCACACTTGCACCGCGAAGCCTGTAACTGTTATGCGATACTTTTCAAAGGGCTACGAAGACTTTATTATGGAAAGTAGCAGTGATTTTGAGGTGATTATCATTAGATAAATAGCTTTTTCATTTGACAAAATTATAATACCGATATTTACACATAAAGCAATAGAATATGATTAAGGAAAATGGGAATAAAATAAATGCGGCTCATGACGTCTGTTAAATGTATTTAGATCAAATGGGAACTAAATCTAGAGGTTACATTAAAACATGATTATATCTGCCTGTCAATTGTCATATAAATTAGTGCGAGTTTGACGATAAAAACATATAAACAGATCATTCTAAAAATCTTTGCTAGAAGTACGCGTATGTGTGCAAATAATTTATTAAGGATCGCTAGTTTTCGTTACAATTAATATACTATTGGTTGCTCTACCTTTAAACAGCTGCCCAAACACGCCTGTGAACCTCTTTTCGATTTCACAATCAGGCTCTTAAGGATATCTGTAGTAAGCTAGGACAATAGACTACGGATCATCCACTGTAAAACGGAAATTATTTCACGTATTTCTAAGTTCTATTGAACATTGTTTGCGAACATTCTAGACTTATTTATTTAATTTAAAAGAGTTGTTATATCAACAAATTATATTCCTAATATTCAACCTTTAAACGTTTGTAAAACATACTCAGGGATGAAAGGGCCATGTTAACTAAACTATTATGTACTTTCAGAGTGGAATAATCTATATAAAAATTCAAGATTTTACCTCTGTTTTCAATTTTACTTTTTCATTTTCGTGGTGTATCATAAAATAGGTGTATATTCCAATCAATAAAAATAATGGCTTTTCCTGTAATAAATTAGAGGCTGACAACTACTGTGACAGAGTTTCTTCCGTCGCTTCTTTCAGCCGATATGTCATCCTGATATTTTGGAGGGGAAGCTTTATTCAGGATGTGTATAAGTGCCCTTTTAAAGGGTCTACATATTTGAAATTTAACTAAGGAAAATATTAAATACTTTATTTCCTTAAACAGTACAAACCACTTGTAATTCAGTCTGACATTGCGAAGGTTGGTAATTTAACATTGATGACTGAAAAGAGGAAATTAATAAGTTGATGATGAATTTATGATCTAATTCCTGGGAAAACTAACTGAACGAAATACAGGAAACTGATTTCAAGACACTAAAGTTTTTGCCGACTTTATTCGTCCCTGTACTTGTGTATAATGTGCTAAGAAATTTTACAACTAACACAACTGAATAAATGTTACAAAGAATTAGAACACATCTTTGAAACTGAATAAATGAGATTATGAGAGTCTAGAGCAGGGGTCTCCAAACTTTGAAGCCTTGGGGCCATTATATTCTTTCGATATGTTGCAAGGGCCATAACAATATTATTTTTTCTGCCCACCCATGTAAATATAAGCTTAGTCTTAAGCTGTCGTGGGCCGGATTGATGGCAGTGGCGGACCGGATATGGCCCGCGGGCCCTAGTATGGAGACCCCTGGTCTAGAGTGTTTGCAACAATCTTCGATTGTCGAATAAACAAACAGAAGCAGACTTAGAATTATTCCTAAAATGTGTAAAGAATTGCAGTCAGGATATCACATCCTTGACTGTGATATAAATAATTAGCGATAGTTTTCAGTACACTCTATGTAAGTGACAAACAAATTAAAACATTAGCGATAGAAAGTATGTACGCAAGAACTATAAGATTATACATCTTTTGGCAACATACCAGAAGAATATTAGCAGAAAAATATTCAAGGTTTTGTCAAAGTGGATATTAAGAATGACTTTTCCACTGAAGTGTCTTAATTCTAAACTCGTAAACAACTTTCTTTTCCGGCCGAGAGATTCATTTGGCTGAAATATTTTCTTCCATTTATGTTTAAAAAGTATGTAAAATATAATTATGGTAGGTATTTTACGTTTTGTGCTCTGATAAAAAAGCTTTTCTAGAACATTCTATGATCAAATAGAGGTGCATTACGATCATAAAATGTTTCTCTACCACTTGCTGAAGCTATTGATATAAATTGAAAATGGCAAAGACATATTGAACACTGCGACATTAGACTAACAATAACAATGATTCTGATTTTCACTTTTGAAACACTTCACATTTGAAAATGGGTCTTTTTCTTACAGTAGGCACCTTATTTCCATTTTCCTGATATCTATTCGCACCTTAGTTTGGTGAAAAGTGCACTTTACACTACTCTAAAATTATTAAATTCATGATAAAGAATATTTAATTTTGATCCAGGTGTTCGTTAAGTTCATAGCAAATAATTATATCTGCAGATAACACGAAAAGGTTCTTAAAGGCTCGTAAAGTCGTAAAGTCTTGTTACATAATAAGTAGTAGTATTTTAAACTTATATTTCTTGCAAGCTGTGTACACCTTTAAGTGACAGTGCAAATAACTAAATATTTTGCGTATTTTTTTATACATATTGTGTATTGTTGTACCTATCGTTGGTGTACCTAATAAATAAAATAAATGACTACACTAAATTGGTAAAAGTTTATTCCAATTAGTATGACTAGTAGCCAAAATGTAGATAGCAATATCAAGACAGTAAATCATGTCTGTCTGATTATTTTCAGCCATTCATTTGATAAGAACCTTGCAAACACGAATCAAATGATAAGTATACTTCAGACTCAGTATTAAAAGTTTATAAATCAAAGCTGCCAGACTATTGATTCGTGGTTTAGGGTTTAGGTACTGTTACGTATCAGACAGTATCAGTCACTTCTCATGTAACCTGAAATCGAACCGTTTTGTCTGTGCGTACACAGAAAGTATCATTTCAGACGTGACGTATATTTTAAATTGCCCAATTTACGGGATAAGCCGTGATTCGTTAAGTGGGAACTGTTATATATCAATTAAAATCGTGTTGATAACGTGACTAAAAAGTCAAATGGTTTTCCCGTAACTTTTCGTCACATTTAAGGTAAACGCTGAAAGTAAACAGTGGTAGATAAACGAGCGTCGCGCGTAGGCGGGGCCCTGACTGGCAGTCAGTTGGCGCCTGCGCGTTGGCCTAGCACGGTGGAACGCCAGCGCGACCGGTTGACCCACTCCGGCTCAGTCCCTCGTCATCTGTTCAGCGTTTGGCCGTGGCCATGAACAGCCGACAACTCCGACGACTGGCCACCGCCGCNCATAGCGCCTCTAGTCCCAAACTAAGCAAAGCTTGTAATTTAAACAAACATGGCAATGTACCATTCTGCTTTCTTATGGGCCGCTAAGCCCTTGGCCAACTCAGTAACCAATGACGGACGATTGTCACTCAACCACAAAGTACCGCGTAAATTAAAAGATATTTTTTAATTAAAAATATTAACCAATAATATTTTTAGTTAGATCAAATATATTTTAAAGTTAAGTTATACATAGATCGAAGTGTATTTATTAGGTGATCAATATTAAAAGGCAAACTTGATATAAAAATCATCAAATTAACAAAATTAAAGATCAATTTCTAAAAAAGAGGATCAAATATTATTTTTGTTTACCAAATATTAAAAGAGTATGTTAAACATAAATATTATGTTACCTTAAATGAAGATCATTCATAATTTATCCGTAGATCAACTAATATAGACCCAATAATTAATATAAAGATAAAATATAATAAAATACATCATTTATTTTTAAAAGTGCACATACAAAAAAGATCAATTAGTTTTTAGAGGATCAAATAATATTGTCCCAATATTAAATACTTTATTTCCTGAAACAGTACAAACCGCTTGTAATTCAGTCTGACATTGCGAAGGTTGGTAATTTAACATTGATGACTGAAAAGAGGAAATTAATAAGTTGATGATGAATTTATGATCTAATTCATTCATGGGAAAAACTAACTTAATGGAATACAGGAAAGTGATTTCAAATCACTGAGGTTTTTGCCAACTTTATTTGTCCCTGTATAACGTGCTAAGAACTTTTACAACCAACATAACTGTATATGTGTGGATTCGATCAAACAAGAGTAAATATTAATCCCATCAAAAACAATACTTGTCAAAAAAACCAAGTCTCGCAACTCAGTTGTTCTACGGTAAAAAGTTGTGAGATCCATGTAATACCAAGTCCAGGCCAGGAAATCTTTAACGTTTTACATAAATTATTGACTTGGCCATCGCACTAAATAATTTAATTTACACGTGTTTTCATGCGATGGCCAAGTCAATATATTTATGTAAAACGTTAAAGATTTCCTGGCCTGGACTTGGTATTACATGGATCTCACAACTTTTTACCGTAGAACAACTGAGTTGCGAGACTTGGTTTTTTTGACAAGTATTGTTTTTGATGGGATCTCATTTCTTTTTGTATTTTGTAGACAGCAGTTATGTATCTAGAAAACTGGACCGAAATTGAAAAATTTTACTCGACTTGGCGGTTGCACTACCGTGCCCCCAAATATTTTAGTTTTTCCTTGATTCATACACCAAACACTACTTATATTCCAAATTTGAAGCTTCTAGGTCTGCTAGAAGTGCCTTAAGAGTTTTGATGATCGGTGAGTCAGTGAGTCAGTGAGTCAGTCAGTGAGTGACAAAATTAAGTAACTTTGACCCGTTATAATTCTTAAACTACTGGTTCAAATTGAATGAAATTTTAAATATACCGTGTCTTTACAATGCCTGCATAGCTAATGAAAATTCAGCCTTCTAGTTTTATCCACAACGAAGTTACAGGCGGTCGAAAATGGCCTGAATTGCTTCGAGAAAAGGATAGTACGGCCGTGCCGCTTTTTTGCTCGACTTGGTGGGGGCACTGCCGTGCCCCCAGATCTCAGAATAAATCGTCAGTTTTGACATATTTCTCATACTGAAACTGTCAATGTGCCAGTTATACCTGGAGTTATTCTCGGAAAAGTTTGGTCGAATCGGGCCTAAATATTACAATGAATACGTACACATCTTTGAAACTGAATAAATGAGAGTCTAGTCTGGAGTGCTTGCAACTATCTTCGATTGTCGAATATACAAACGGAAACAGACTCAGAATTCCTAAAATGTGTAAAGAAATGCAGTCAGGAAATCACATCCTTTATTGTGATATACATTTTGAATACACTCTATGTAACTGACAAACAAATTAAAACATTAGCGATAGAAAGCATGTACGCAAGAACTATAAGATTATACATCTTTTGGCAACATACCAGAAGAATATTAGCAGAAAAATGTTCAAGGTTTTGTCGAAGTGGATATTAAGAATGATTTTTCCACTAGAAGTGTCTTAATCCAAAACTCGTAAACAACTTTCTTTTCCGGCCGAGAGAATCAATTGGCTGAAATATTTTCTTCCATTTATGTTTAAAAATTATGTAAGATATAATTATGGTATTTTACGTTTTGTGCTATTATAAAAAAGCTTTTCTAGAACATTCCACGATAAAATACAGGTGCATTACGATCATAAAATGTCTCTCTGCCACTTGCTGAAGCTATTGAATTGAATTGAAAATGGCAAAATCCTAAATTGAACACTGCGACATTACGGACATAAGGAATACTTGGTTTTGCAGGTGAAACCTTAACGTATACTCGTACTCATAGAATAAACAATTAAATTGTATTAAAAATTAATTAAAAGCTATTATCTATTGTAGTTTTTTTTAGTTTTATATGATTTTTAAGTAACTATAAGTAACACAACTAGCTACAATAAATGGTTTACTAAGTAATACAATTTTTAATTACCTACTTAACACTAAATGGGCAAAGTTAAATTTTATTACAATTTATATGACTAGTAGCCAAAATGTAGATAGCAATATCAAGACACTAAATCATGTCTGTCTGATTACTATGAGCCATTCATTTGATAAGAACCTTGCAAACACGAATCAAATGATAAGTATACTTCAGACTCAGTATTAAGTTTATAAATCAAAGCTGCCAGACTATTGATTCGTGGTTTAGGGTTTAGGTACTGTTACGTATCAGTCACTTCTCATGTAACCTGAAATCGAACCGTTTTGTCTGTGCGTACACTGAAAGTGCCATTGCAGACGCGTGACGTATATTTTAATTGCCCAATTTACGGGATATGCCGTGATTCGCTAAGTGATAAATATCAATTAAAATCGTGTTGAAAACGTGACTTAAAATTCAAATGGTTTTCCCGTAACTTTTCGTCACATTTAAGGTAAACGCTGAAAGTAAACAGTGGTAGATAAACGAGCGTCGCGCGTAGGCGGGGCCCTGACTGGCAGTCAGTTGGCGCCTGCGCGTTGGCCCAGCACGGTGGAACGCCAGCGCGACCGGTTGACCCACTCCGGCTCAGTCCCTCGTCATCTGTTCAACGTTTGGCCGTGGCCATGAACAGCCGGCAACTCCGACGACTGGCTACCGCCGCCAGGCCCCTAAAACCTTCCCCGTGTCTTCGCGTCCAAAATTACAGTCAAGTGAGACCCGTCTATGTAATCGATAAACATGTGAGTGTCCTTTGCTATTTGTCGCCATGGAATCTACAGCGGTTGCCCGGAGACGGTTCGAAAAAGTACCTGCCTACTTGGGGATTAGGTAATATCATTGATAAATCATGCTAAAATGTTTCATTATTGTTTCAGAAATGGCGGAACTCGGCGCCGACGTTCTATGCCGTTCAAACCATCGATATGAGGTAGGTACGCTGCATCTCTACAATTGTATTTTATCACTGAAAACAGATCTATTTCAGTGCAGCGAAGCAGTCAGGTTTCCATTAGAAATAAATTGACGTTAATGACCCATATCGACTCCTATTGATCTATATTGAACTGCGAATGATATTGTTCTCGCGTCAGCCGGCGAAGCGCCGGACGGGTACTTGTCCAATTCACCCCTGACATTTACTTAGAGCTGTTTGCCTGTTTAGTTTACCGTCTATGTTTGTATAACTTTTTACGTGTTTAGTCTGTCACGTTTACATAAAAATCTAATGAAAGTAGCAATACATCTTAAGTTTAGTCGAAAGAAGTTAAAAATGTAGAGTTCGGTAATCTTAACGCCAATAAAAATTCAAAAGTCATAACCTGCCATATTTGATATTACCATGTTATACTTACTCTTAACGATTACGACTTACATAATTCTGCATTATTTGTCTAAAAATCATCCACTAAGGACTGGTAGTTTCGGCATAGTTCGAAAGTCTATGCCTATGATTAGTTTCAGCTAAAGTCCTACGATGTTTTTGCTAGATAGGAGTATTTTTGTTGTTTCAGAAGATAATGTTTTACAGTTCCTATGACAACTCTACTAAATTCAGTCTATTCCTTATGCATCAGACAAATGTTTTGACGTCACGATTCTAGAAGCGAAATGTCTTACTTATGCATGTTTTCACGTTTTATGATGCAGACCTTACTCGTTCGTGCACAACGTTGATCCCGTCTTGTGAGTATACGAGTAGTCCAGGGTTTACGTGTTTTGCATGGCTATTATTATTTTGTATAAAAATCTCTAAATTGTTATCTGTTGTTAATAGACTGCTGTTTTAATATACCGATTCTAAATTATCTAATTCGTTATTACTTTTGCTTATTTTACACCTCGGATATTTAGTAGGTGGGTAAATGTCATTTTCTACTTTGATGTAAGTAATTAGACTAATTAGATATTTTGAAGCTGCTTTGCACATTAATCGACTGTATAAATAATATTTGCAAACTGTGTGTAATTAAAAATTAACTTAAAGATCGACTTGGTTTGATATTATGCTTTACTTAATAAGAATAATGCCTAGTCTTATTGGGTAATATTATTCGTTACCTGATACTTGGTATATCTCAGTCCATAAGCTTACTACGAAGTACTTAGTGAAAGAACGTGGTGACGACTGAAATGCCATAACGTCGCGACGTTTTATTGCATTCTTTGATATCGATTTAATCGAAAGGCTTTAATAACCGAGTTCCGATGGTTGAATGGCTTCTTTTGATTACACCAGCTTTAGTTTGTGGTAAATATTCCGTGTTATTTATAAGTTGACGATCTTTTTTGGTGCTTGATCTAAGTTTTGTTGTAGTGAGTACTTTCCACTTTTGAGCTCGTTTTTTACCTTTTTTTAAGTTATTCCTGTTTCTACCTACCTATATGAGTATATCAGTGACAATAATAGGTAAATTGATATATCGGTTATATGATGAATGGCTTCAATTTTATCTTTGTAATGAATGGACAGCAGTAGGTAGAGTCAAAAGTAAATCTTTAGAACGTATGATTTCAGATGATGAAATAAATAAGGCTGCAACTGTATTACATAACTATTAAGATTTATTTGCAATTTTCTTACTAATTGACAGTAAAATTGCAAAGCACAAAGCCCGTTAAATATCTATTATCAGTCAAAGCAAGCTTTCATTAGTAATAGGTAATGACGTCGGCAAAATGGATATTATATTTTAAGATAAGATTAACCTGAATAATGAAGTTTTTATGAGTAGATATCAATAATACATGTGGTGTTGCATAAGTTCTGTTATTATGATGCTAGGCATATATTTTTATACGGTTCATTGATAATTTATTGGGTAGGTAGATACCTACCTATGACGCGTGGATTGTAAACAGTTATATCTGTCAACTTCCTCGCTAAAAGTTAGCATTGATTATGATGAAGATGGAAAGACCACCTAGCTTGGTGGTAAGTACACGCAGAACTTACAAAACCACCTGTGATTGCGGGTTTGACTCCCGTTGTTCCTACTAGCCTGATGATTACAAGAGGTAATACCCAGAGTCAGAGTTAATAGTATAGTTATCCATTACCTATTCATCTATTTAGTGCTACAGTCGGTACATGGTGTATTACAGTTGTTACAATTTTGTGAAAAGCTAAAACTATGTTCTTCCTCCGAATATAAATCTTTAAAACATAATAATGTCTAGATTGTCTAGCCAGTCGGTGGGTGTCGGCTGAGTAGGAAAAAACCAGCTGCTTAGCTTTAGACGTCGACAAAAATAAAACGTCAGGTGATCATAGTGATCTACGTGGTAGACACACCCGCGAACTAAGTACGTCACTGCTTCACGCCATATTTTTAGATCGTGGTGGAAAACATGTTTGCAATTGTAATATTTCAATATTTGCAGCTATGACAAGTAATAGGTAGCCATTGGTTTGTTTATGCACAAAATTAGCATCCGTTACGTTTGCATGTTAGCATCCTATAATATTGTCTCCACGATATCAAACTAAAAGCCGTCTCCTTCATTCGCAGGGTTCGCGAAGGTTCTCACAGAAATGCCGACGACGTCCTATTTGATATGTTCAAGAATGAAGACACGGGACTTATGCCAGTTGGAAAGTTTTTGGCCGTGAGTAATCACTTCTAAAATTAATACTTATCTTATTAATTAACTAACTCGTGAGCACGTGAACTCCGCGACTTCATCTGCGCGCTTTTCCCATTATTGTTTCAACCTACGATTGAGTTGTATTTTGTCTCTATAATACCAGAATTCAGAATAAAGCGCATAATATTATTCTAATTCAGTACATCAGAGATTAAAAAGGTAATTTCTTTCGGCGAGACAAAGTTAAAACCAACAAACATGCGTAATGTCTGTGTTTAATTAGAAATTTTGAACATGTCGTTAAATAATAATAAAATAGCTAAGTATGTCTGAGTCTTATATCAACACTTTTCGTAAATTAAAATGCATAGTCTTATCAGTTAAATCTGTTTGATGACGACATGATGAGTTATTATAAATTCAGTATTTGCCTTTTATTACAGAATAAACATATATGTATTTTAATTAGCATTTTTAAAAATTACAGGCCTTGAGAACCACCGGAATAAGAAAGAACGATTCTCGCGTGAAAGAAGTAATGCACAATCTATACAAAGTACATAAAGAACAAAATTTCGAAGGAGGCTCCCCAGAAACGCTGAAGCTAGATAGAAAAACATTTAAAGAAGTGATTGCTCCCAACATTGTTTTGATTACGAGGGCATTCCGCAGTCAGTTTGTCATTCCTGACTTCCAAGACTTCATAAAGGATATTGAGGAGATGTACTGGGCTGCAAAGAGCAACACCGATGGAAAAGTGGCCAGTTACATACCGCAGCTGGCTCGGGCCAACCCAGACTGTTGGGGAGTCAGCGTCTGCACAATAGACGGCCAAAGATTCTCTATTGGTATGTATTGTAAAGTTCGTTGAAATCATATAATCAGATAGATACTAGCGTGACGCTATTAATTTATTGCGGCGTTCGCAGGTGACGTGACTGTCCCATTCACACTACAGTCCACGAGTAAGCCCCTGACTTACGCAATGGCGCTCGAAACTCTGGGACCTGATGTGGTGCACAAATATGTTGGCACGGAGCCCAGCGGACGGAACTTCAATGAACTCGTCTTGGACTACAATAGTGCGTAATACTTACATACTACTTTTAATGCTGTTATGATAATATACTAAAATATAATACTAACTACTTAATTAAGATAATAATTACTAGATCTACATACAAAATAACTACTTTAGTCTATAAATAAAATGACAACATAAACAAACAAAATTCTTTGAAGATGTAAATGACGCTTGTTGTTTGAATCAACAAAATCCCTTGCCAAACACTGCCTGCTATTTTGTTTACATTTTATGCCAACAGTGAAACCGCACAACCCGATGATCAACGCCGGTGCAATTTTAGTATGCTCATTACTGAAAACCTTGGACAAGCCCGAAATGACTCTCGCTGAAAAGTTCGACTACGTCATGTCATTCTTTAGTCGCCTTGCGGGGAACGAGGTGTTGGGTTTCAATAATGCAGTATTTCTGTCCGAGAGAGAAGCCGCTGACAGAAACTATGCGCTGGGATTTTACATGCGCGAGCATAAATGCTATCCGGAAAAGACAAATCTTCGGGAATGCATGGATTTCTATTTCCAGGTTTGTTAAACTTCTTAATCGTTTCGCTTTTGGTAGAGCGGTCGTGGTCGGTCACGCTGTTAAACTGTTCAAACTTTAATAGAAAGACTTGGGTGAAACTAAGTTTAAGATCACCACCTATGTACACTTATGAAGCAATAAACGATTATGATTATGAAATGAAATGGTATTGTACTACACCTACTTAATCACGTTTAATCTTTTTCAGTGTTGTTCCATGGAGGCAAACTGTGATATAATGTCGATAATGGCAGCAACGCTAGCAAATGGAGGAATATGCCCAATCACGGACGAGAAAGTTCTTCGCCCAGACTCTGTCCGTAACGTGTTGTCCTTGATGCACAGCTGCGGAATGTACGACTACTCGGGACAGTTCGCCTTCAAAGTGGGATTGCCTGCAAAATCTGGAGTGTCGGGAGCTATGCTTATTGTTGTCCCCAATGTAATGGGCATCTGCACTTGGTCCCCGCCCTTGGATCCTCTAGGAAACAGCTGCAGGGGTCTTCAGTTCTGTGACGTAACTATCTTGATTTTTACATTCATTAGATAGGTAATTCTTTTTTCTGAACTCTTCATCAAAATTAACCGTATTTTTTATTTCAGGCCCTAATAGAGCGATTCAATTTCCATAAATACGACAATATCCGCTACGCGAGTCATAAAAAGGATCCAAGACGGTACAAGTTTGAAACCACCGGTCTCAGTATTGTGAATCTGTTATTCTCAGCGGCAAGTGGAGACCTTAGTGCTCTAAGAAGGTAAGAAAAACTTTATTTGGTTTACTTTATACGTTAAGTGAGCATGTGTTTACATAAAATGTTGCTGTTTGTCAGCTCTCCTTCAGAGTCAGAAGCAACTGCTCTGCTCCCTGTGCCGGAAAAATCGACCGAATAATGTATAAAAAACAAGTAACACTTTCAAGTGCTTTCATTTAAATTCAATTGAATTGCTTTACACTATTTTATCAGGCGTTTTAAATGTATGTATAGGTAGTTACAAAACACTAGAATACCGTAAGCATTGGCTTCAGTCATCGTATTCTTCACGTAGGTACTTATCTCAATCAATCATGTCTATGCTCTACATTTTATCATGAATGCCTTCTAGACTAGTACCTACTTAGTAACTGTCCATCAGTATTATAGTAGGTATATTCTACATAAGAGATGCAGTCGTATGTAATTACTAGACATCGGATTATATGCATTTGCATTATTGCATATGCAAACGCATATATATAGCGTTATTGCATATTTTGGTACTTTTTCATTGACAGTGCTTATTTTAGTATTTATACGTGTTAGACGTGTTGTACTTCGCATCAACACATCGCCCTCGCACGCACTGCGAGCGATCCGTACCAGTGTTGCCAGTCGGGTCTTGTCAGAAATGACCAGAAATATAAAAAAAATGTAACCTTTTTGAATAAAAAGTAACCTTCATACGGGGTTGTTGCGGAGCGAAAATGAANGCGAGGGCTATCTGTAACAGTTCGTTCGTTCGTTCGCTTCAGCCAAATGACGTCCACGTCCACTGCTGAACAAAGGCCCCCTCCAAGGTTTTCCACAATGCACGGTCCTGCGCGCCCGCATTCAGGCACCTCCCACGACCTTCACCATATCATCGGTCCACCTAGTGTGAGGCCTGCCCACGCTACGTCTTCCGGCTCGTGGTCGCCACTAAAGAACTTTCCTGGCCCAGCGGCACTAAGTCTCTAATCAATAAGCAACAGAGCTGTCTGAACCTCTTAGTGGGCATAAACCAATGAAAAATTCGCTGCTATGAAAAAATATTTTGGTACGTCCTCTTTTGAAGAGCACATCAGCCAGCTGTTCATTTCGGCCAAAAGCAGTCTGCAAGCACTGCAAGACTTAAGCCTCCTCAAAAGAGCGCCACAATTATAAAGCGGTCCATCGAGTTCGCTGGCCTTTTCCCTGATCTTCCTCCGAAATGGTGGACTCTGGATCTGGTTGATGAAGTCCGGGACGGTCTCCCGGTTCCGGACTTCATCCCTTAACAAGAAGAGTGACATGTAGCCTGTGGATTATCTTTACTCTGTCATGTTTCTGTTCTCCAAAAGTCATCATGTTAGACATCTATACATTACAATTTTGAAAAAGTGTAGGTAATAGATAACTAAGGCTGAGCTGAGTTTAAATAAACAACTTGAAAAAATCGAACTGCCTACGGCGAATTAGGCCACCTTATTTTAACCGTAAAATAACATTAACTGGTGCTTTTTGTATGAAGTTTGACATATTTTGACGTTTGTCAAAGTTATGAAGTAAGATGGTGCAATCAGTCTAAGTTTCTCAGGTACATACAAGGAAATATGATTTTGTCTTTTTTCTCAATGGCTGCTACAAATGTAACTTATTATTATACCTATTTTAAATAAACACTTATGGGTTAAGGAAAACGGGTCAAGCGATGGAAAATTTGCAAGGAAACTAACGATTTATTATGCAATCGGTAACAATTGCTATTTAATTTTATTGCTATGTTTTATGTATGGGTCGTGTAGATTGTAGATACCTACTAGGTCTGTAATGGGATGCGAAGATGGTTTCTTGTAATGTGATCTTTGATTTATAACTTCCCTTCTATAGCATCTGTCCGCGACTTTACCTGTGCATATTCACACAAATAAGAATAAATATGTTACTGTACAAAAACTTAGCCTAAACACGTACAAGTTTGGTTTCAATAAAATTAAAGTTATTGTGCGAAAGTAATTAATCGATACAAACATACACATTTTCACAAAACATCCAAAGAAATTTTCGATTTTTTGTGACAAGTGTGAATAACTAACTATGCTGTACCTACTAAAACTAGGTTAGGGATTTAGGTTATAAAATAAATGTTAAATGGACAGATTTACATACACATTCATAATATAGTGCAGGAATCACTTATTAGGTATGTTACCAAGCACGGCAGTCTTTTTGTTCTGCATAGGTTTATTTTTATTCCGATGGTAGAGTACCAAACTTGAATTAATTAGTAAATTAAAGGTACTTAAAGTTAGTGCTTAATATGCAACTATATTAATAAGCCTTGTTGTTTACAAAAATACGCTGCCTCTACGAATAAAACTTCGTCGACACGCAATGCTACATGGGTTATTTTTTCTTTTATTAACATTGGCATTTAATTTTAGTTATCTCTGGTTTAATACAAGGAGCCAGGTGCCAGTAGCCTCATTTCGCAAGTCTGGAAGAGATCGCATTATAGCGATAAGACCACCTAAATTGTGTATATTTCTTTCTTTTTTTTATTTTCCTGTGTGGTGTAAAATAAAATGTGTTCTTTCTATCTATCATTGTCTTTTTGGCCATAAATGTCGAATCGATGTCAGAATCGCATATATTTCCGATAAGTTCAATTTAATCGCATCACGCACACGTCGTTACGCAACGAGTGTCACAATTGTATGTCAGTGGACTTGCCTACAAAATGTACACACGAAAGTGATCGTTGTTCGATTTTTTATTGTTTGTACCACTATGTAATTATTGGTTCAATAACTTAGTTCTCAGTAAGAATTACAAAAATTGGTTCAGAGAGATCTACAGTAATTGAGAATGAGAAAAAAAGAAAAAAAAGTCGGGGGTAGAAACAAAAATTGCATCGTCAGGCAGACGTTTCCACGGATGTGAATTAGTTTTTTGATTTGCATGTAAATTCAGAATGGTCTGTACCTATGCGTCGTCTGGTACCCATAGTGCAAGCTTTTTTTAATTTGAGACTAGATAGTACCATAGAGTACTCGTACTTACTGTGTAAGTTATACAAGGGTAGGTAAATGTTTAAAAAAACTTAGGCTGCGTTGAAACCGTAACCATAACCAAATAAGATGGTGCAACCCAGCCTTAGAAGAGTAACGCCCGTATTCACAAACGATGCTTGCTTAAGTGAAGCAGCAAATCGAATGCACAGCGTTGAATAGAGCCTTGTGATTGGTTCGTATGTCACCCTGTGCGTCCACGCGCACTGTGAGCCCTCATAGTAATAAGTTTAAGTTTATGAATACGGGCGTAAAATACTTCATAAGTGTGAATTTTAGGTCACTCCGTCCATTAACGTAACTTTTTAAACGTTTAAGCAACTTTTTAACACTAGGAAGGAGTCAAATGTAGCCAACGCATGCATTCCTGCGTTGCGTGCGTCGAAATTCGGTAACATTTCCTTCCGAGGTGTCGTTCGCCGCTCGCAGTGAAATCGTCACGCTTTGGTGCCAATGGTAAACTGCTGATGGTTTCACATGTGGAGGTCTGGTGAAGAGCTTACCATAGAATAGGGTACTTCTAGCCTCAGTCTATCATCATCATCATTTTAGCTAGATTTGAAGGTCTAGTGAAGAGTTTACCTATTCTAGCGCTTTCCTGCAACCTTAATAAGGTCATTTGTCCCAGCTGGACATACTTAGGACTCCCCCAATGATTCCCAAATTGGCCGGTTGGTACTGGCCTGCATCCAGCGCCTTCCTGCTACCTTAATAAGGCCATGGGTCCATTTCGTGGGTGGAGTCTCATCTCAACTTTTGATCTGGATCTATGCTTGAGATTGATACGAGATTTTTGCATCGTTCTTTAATATGGATCTTACTTAGCCTAATAACTATTGAGTCACGTATGCACAAAAACTATTGTTAGCCTCGATATTATAGTTTATTATCGTATCTTACTCTCCCAAAATCATAGATTACCGCATAATGCCCAATCTGTAACCGCAGCACGTGTGGCCAAAGACAATAAACCCGAGCCGTGATTTGCGCCATAGATAAGACGAGTCCATAGACACGCGTCATACACGTAATGAAAACGAAAGTTATTGCGTAAAAGTGCGTTTGTGTGAAGAAACTTGAGTGAAATGCCGCGAAAAATGTGCGGGCAGTTTAATGTCTTATCTGTTTGTGTAATGGATAGGCGCGTTTGAATTTTAAGGCTGAGTTACACCACCTTACTTTAACCGTAACTACAACCATATTTGTATGGAGTCTAACCGCCTCTGTGGTCTAGTGGTAAGACCACCTGCTTCAGACGCAAAGGTCCGGGGTTCGATTCCCAGTGGGGGCAGATTTTTCTGTTCGGTTTGGTTGGTGGTAGGGCTTGTTCTAAGTCCGCCTGGCTAGCTACCACCATCTTACCTAAGTCTGTCGCCATAACAACAATGTTAACAGCATTGTTGTGTTCCGGCAGTTAGAGGTAAGATAGCCAATTCTTCTGTGGTTGAGGTTTCCGGGTAAAGCTCGTTTCCACCTTCGGCCTGATCATCACTTACCATCAGGTGAGATACAGGCCAAGAGCTTCCTCGTTGTGGATAAAAAAAGAGTTTGACAGACTTAAATATGACGTTTGTTATAGTTATAGTAAGTTAATGCAACCCAGTCTTAGGCTGGGTTGCACCCATCTTGCTTTAACTTTGACAAACGTCAAAAACCTTTCAAACTCTATAAAAAAACACTGATTGTCGTTATAGTTACCGTTAAAGTTAGGTGGTGCAACTCAGCCTTAATCTATATCTTTTATTAGTATTATTAGAGCGAAAGTATGCTTGTAGAGATAGATGTATGTAATGTTCATTACGCTTCACATAAAAAATACTGAAAAGATTTTATAAAAGTTTATAATGTTATTTATCAAAACAGCACAGCTGATATTTATGATTATTATTTATTATTATGTTGTGTAACTTTATTGAATCCTACGCGGACTATGTCGCGGGCAAGCTGGACAATAAATTGGTGTTATTGCAAA